GATTAGGGCACAATCTCCTATTAACTATGGTATTCTACTCTTAAGTTGAGATTGAAGGATGAACTAGATTCCTATTTGATATTGAAAGGAGCATTCAAGTTTGACTAAGTTATCTATCTGAATATTCAACTGAAGCATGGTTCATATCTGCATTCTATCACATTAAAATCTATAAGACGTCTTATCCTCAGACATATTCCATTCAACAGCACAACGAAAAACTTGTCAAACTTCTGTTTTTTTCATCCCGGCATCATCGTTTTCAATATTATCCATTCTATATTTATCAAAAATATATTCCTTTATTAATCCTCTCACGACAAACTTTAAATCCAATAAAAATTAAGCAATGAAGCCGAGTGTAAAATATTCCAATCCGCTCTAAATTTCATAAAAAATTTACGACATTCAATCATCTCCTAACAACTAGTCAGTCTATGTTTATCGACTCAACAAAAAATGAAAACGATGAACAACAGAATTGAATTGAGGGAAATGACATCAAAAATCCACACAAGCCAGCCAATATCATGGTCGATACCATTAATCACATTCAATATATTATTCGTTCACAGATTAAAAGTTCCTTCGTACTCTCGTATGTAATTTTTTTGGCAGCCATATTTCACGGTCATGATATAAAGGAGCAAGAATAGAAGAAAAAAATCAATTGTTATTACCGAAATGGATAAAACTCTCGTTTTCTTTTGGTATATGATGTTGTACTCTCAACCTTACTTCATTTATTTCATTCTGTCTTGAAACTATGCCAAGAAAGTTTTTTTTCATGCTCGACTAGCTTTTTTATAAGGAATATCATCTCCTTGATAATAGTCGAATTCTCATCTCATTTATCTATATCTTTAGATAAATGTTGAAGTATTTTTAAATGCTGGCTTGTTACAATGGAATTTAAGAAATCAAAAGCTAAGTTTTCAGATTAGGTGTATGATTTTGCCAAATGGAAGTCGTTAGAATTTGGAATTTGAAGAGGAGGGGGGGGGGGCAGTTTTTTTTTGTACGGAAAACTTTAAGGGGGGGGGGGGGGGGTTAATAGGCGACATTCAATTTGTGATCCAACTGTAGCAACATCCAACTGATACATTTGTAACGTTTCTCTAACACACTAATCTAAGCTAGTGATGGTCAAATCGTGTCATGATAACTCCTACTGATCTAACCTAAGCTCCCTCATACCAGAAAGTTCAAAATTCCTATTTTATATTTTCACCCAAGCTTTAGATTGCAAATTGAAATCTTTAAGTCTTCTCTCCATCAAAATGATTTTCATCCTTGCTCTAGTGTTGAATTAAGAATCAAGAAAGGATTTGGCTTCCATTTAAAATGCAAATCTACGAGAAATAAAATGGAAATTTTCGTTTCTATTAAGAAAGTTTCAAGTGCATTACTTTAAATATTTAATTCGTGTGAGGAATTTTCTCCCAAAAGATCTCAATTTACATAAATTTAAAATTTAAATTATTTTCTGCACCTGAGGATAGATTCATGTTCCCAAAAGTTAATTCAGAAGTCAATTTTGAGTCTTAATATTTGATCTCCAAGTAAATACCTTAATGGTAGAAATTGTGGTGTAACAAATGTTTCCTCCAAGGGTTCTGCATTTAATGTAGTAGTAATTTATGTTTGTAATTAATTTTGTGCTATTTAGTGGGAAACTGTATTTGGGTAATTGAAGTGATAAGGTTAGTTCCTTAAGTGAAATTAGATTCTACTTTTGCTATTTTATTGTCAACATTTTCTTTTGCATTTATCCTAGTCAATAATTGAGTTTGTGAATCTTTGGAATGTAGAGTAGATGAAGCTAGTGCTTTCGGGATGTAACATTAATTTTTAATTGACAATGATAAATCTTCAAGGATGAGAGGATTTTTTTTGTAATGGAAGAGGGTCTCCAGGGATGATCTTAATTTATAAGTCAATAGCTTGGAAAATAGTGTATACTAAGTGTTAATCCAGGCTCATAAACTAGGCAGTAAACCTTCAAATACCGCCAACTTCTATACAAATAACTCCAGATCCCAAATACCGCCTCTTCATATGAAATACCACCTAGTTTCCGAGCCTGGATATTAACTTTGACATACTAGGGTCGGCATCTTGTGTTTTGCCTCTGGTAATCATCAAAGCGTATGCACTCGAGATTAATTCCAAAACTTTTCAAGACGTGGATCACTAAGTCTTCCATGCATTATTTTGCGGCATAAAGCACCTACGATTGAAGTTCATAGGATTGTTTTTTCGAACCAGCAGTGCATTACCGAGCATAGTTTGAGAACTACTGAGCTAGATGTAGCCTGGTTTCGTTTCTGAATCCTCGACCTAACCTTGGAGCAAAAAATTAAGTTTGAAACTCCAATATCATAAGCTTAAAGTTCCAACAAATTAAAAATAATTTGTAGTAAATTTCCCGTAAACTTTTAAAACTTTTCCACAAATTAAAAAACAAAAAAGTTTATTTCTTAATGCAAAATTTTTCTTTAAAAATCAACTTTCAAACTTCATTTCAAAAAGAAAATGATTTTGCAAAAAAAAAAACTTTCGACTTCCTCAAAAAAAATTCTCATTTTATTGACTGTATATCTCCTTACAAACTTTTTAAATTGCATTTAACAATTCATTCATTTTCACTAACATCTCTCTTTCGATTTCAATTTTCTTATGGCATTCATGTACATGCATAAGCGAATGAGATTTAAAATTGATTTAGAGATTTTTTTTTTTCCTATTCTGTATGTTACTTGATGACTTGAGTAGAAGAATTGTGCTTTTTTTATATCTCGTATTCTTTTTTAATAAAAAATTTATTGAAACACAAAAAAAAATTTTCATTTCGATCCAATATTTCATGCAATAGCTTTCTTCCGTTACTCCTTCGTTCTATCTTCTTTTTTCGGATCAACGACGATGCATTATTCATGAAACAAAAAAAAATCTGCTTTTGTGCCTGTACAATAATAGCCAAAGCGTAGATAAGAAGAGTAATCTACATTGAAAGTAGCATGTAGCTTGTAGACTGTTTATATCAGCATGATAGAAGAATATTGCAATATAAATTCCATTGGATGTGGAAGGCGTGCTTGCAACAATAAAAAAACTTTATTTTATAGTTTGAAAAATGAAAGCAACGGACAGATTAATGAGCATAATATAGTCTTGTTTGTGACGAAGAGGAGAATTTCCATAATTTTTTAATAAAACTCATCCTGTGCTGTATATGTGAATGCCATAAAAATTCGAGACATGAGAAGAAAGTTTGATGAATAATTTATCTCACCTTATTGGATGGTTAAATGGGATCTGGGACTTAGCTGGGAATTTTTATTATGAACTAGATTTTTTTTCGGATCGTGGTTTTTTATTTTCATAAATATTTCTTGGTTTTTGGTGAGCGTAGAACGTCTTAATAAAGTATAAATAAGGTTCAAAATTGGATACTCTAAGGAGGAGAATCTTTGGTTCGAGTCAGAGTTTAGTCAAAAAGCGAGTTAAATCCCTTTTATCTACTTCTACATATATCTGCACCTACTAGTATACGAACATAGACCCTAGTGGTTACACTAAGGTAGGCATAAGTAAAGATTTAAGGGCAAGGGTAGGTACATACTGAGAAATACATATTCAGGGCACCTGTAAGCTTTCTTTTTGCCATGCAACTAAAGCAATTTTTAAACCAGAACCTTTAAAAAAATCACGTAGCTTTTGGATCATAAAAATATTTATTTTCTTTAAATTCTAAGAATTCAACAGCTAAATGTCAAAACATTTGACCTTTAACGTTGTTACGTGAAGCTAAGTTATATTAAAAATCAGTGAAAATTTTCATTCTTATTCTACAAATAATTTCTAGTGTAAATACATAGTAGAGTAGAATTTAAACCTCTCGTGGCTCTATGCCTGAAATATAGCTTTATTGATTTCATTTGTAGCTCGATTAATTATCTAAAATGAATATACAGCTTTTAAAGCTCCTCTTCGTACAGTTGAAACAGAATTTATTCATTCTGCACGAAATCAATTAGATCCTTTTCAAGTCATTCAAAATAATTTATTGAATTACGAATTGCTTTCTGTGTATTTTTTATGAATATTGCGCAATATTCTTCATTGTAATTACAACTCAAGATTTTCCCGACAAGATTGCTGCTGTAGACAAAACACAATATGCATGTAATATTCACAGCACTTAAATATGTATAAAGTTTTCTTTTCATCCACTTACTCATGCCGCATAAAAAAAGCACAGGAAATTGTTCAGTATGTAGACATGATATGGAAATACTCTACATTTAAATCTCAGCAATCGTGATTAAAATAAAGGGAAATTTTTCTTGGAATGTGTACTTAATGCGCTTATTTGAGGCATGCTTAAAAGTAGTTTATTGATATTACACGCTTTACTGAAACTTGATATTACAAGGCATCGGTATTTGACAGTATTTTGGTACTAAAGTTTAAGAATTCATTCTAAAAAAGCAATTATAGCCATTAACGAAACTAATCAAGCAGGATTCGAATCATGAACTCAATAAAAGCATGCCAGTGATCAATTATTTGAGCCACTGGTTCCCTTTTCTCTGAAAACCAATACAAACTTAACAAAAGCTTAACAGAAATAAATAAATCGCATTTAAAACCAATCCAACGAGATTCACAAAAAATTGTTGCTATATTAATGCCTTATATCTTAAAAAGCACAAGCGATGGGTGTTTAAGCTGCAATTTAGAATATTAAATTCGAACCCTCCCAGCTTCTTCACAAAAAATGAAGCTTTGCAATAAAGATGCTCAGTGAGGTGCTTGAATAAAAATCTAAAGTGGGGAGGGGATGATCCTCAAGTGATGTGTATCAAAATGTATGTAATATTAATCATGTCTCGCTCACAGCTTTAAACTTCTTTAATTCTCAAAAAATGAACATCATGCAAGAATGATCCCTTAACAACCATGCTTAATATTAACTGCTTTATCTACCAAATCCAATATAGCACATAATCTCCCTATCTACATTATCAAGCACTTTAAACTGCTTATTCTCAGAAAATGAAAAAAAAACTTTTTTCATCAAAATCTCAGTTTACTTTGCTGATAAAAATACTAGAATTATTCCACTTGAACATCATCAAGTCATAATTTTATGATTATTCAAACTTTTTATCGCAACAACGAGCAAAAAAATTAATTTATGGGGTGAACACAGCTGCGGAACAACAGAAGTCAGTTGGTAAAGCTCAAGTTTCTGATTTAAACAAACATTAATTAGCAAAAAAAGTTGCATTTGCTGCGTACACAAAAAAGCTCATTTAACAAGAACCACATTTTCATGGAGATAGACAGTGGCGTAGTATGGAAGTGACTTAAGATTCGAATATAGGTGTCTTTATATAAGATAGTGTTTTTTGAATTATTTGCTAGTCTGCACCACTCAACAAGCCACTAGAGTTAACACTGATGCTTAGCTTTAATAATTTTTGATAGAAGTCTACCAGATATTAACATCCCGTCCCCAAAAAAGCTCTTTCTACGCCACTGTTTTAAAGTTTCTCATAAACTTCGATTCATAATGTAAAAATAGCAATAATTATGATTATTATTATGCTGCATTTAAATATATCATAGCATTTACATTTAAACTATTATTTTCTTTCTTCTTTACATTTACATTAAATTAGCCCCATTTGTTCCTTTATGTGCTGTAACATACAAAAAATGCTGATAATATAAGGAAAAAATGTATTTCGTATGAATACGAACAGTATGTAGAGTAATTGAATCAATCAATTAAAACATCGACATAATTGAGTTGTTCTGCAAGAGAAAAAAAAAGTCATTTATATTCAAGTCCATAAAAAGACATAAACGAAAGGTAACAGAAGCAAGCGACGTGTAAGAAATAAGTGCAAAAAAGAGAAGAAATAAAAATTCAAAATGCTTGAAAAGCAAAAGAGCTTTGAAAATTCAACACGAAATGGGCCGGAAAGGAACTCATCAAGTGCAATAGCGCCCATTTCATCATCATTGCCAGACGAAGTACTCGAGAAGCTTTTTCGTAGTTACTCACTCAAACAAAAGCGTTCAGGTCTAGTGTGCTTTTTAGCAGCTTCCATTATGTTTGATTTATGGGCAATAATCGTACCGCAAGGACAAAGTTTAGAAAGCTTAGGTAAGTAGAAATTTTTTCGACTGTTCACAGCTATAAATGCCATGCCATTTCTTTCATAAATTTACGGTTGGAATTGAATCAGAGCTTTCGTGTAGAAAGGCAATCAGATTTGGCGGAAATAGCTCTAAATCACTAGTCTTACCCATTATTTCATGTCTCGTTGTATACTTTTTTCTATACATTCAGAGGTGTAGCTAGAAAGTCATCCCCCCCATCCGGGTTTTATATTTTCGAAGCTATATTTTGTAACTTAATCGTACGTCTACCATTAAAATTGGAGATAGAAGTAAAGCAGCAATTATTTTCGTGCTTAGTCCCTGCTATGCATTGTATTGAACACTCGTATGCTCACATTCGTATATAGAAATAATCTATAAGGAAGTTACCGTTAATAAATTTCGATTTATTTTATCGTACAGCATAAATCCTGTCCTATAGCAGTGAACAGGTTCTAAAATCTGATTGGCTATATAGCCAGTGCTAACGAATTAATTGCCAATTTAATGAAAAATTCAATATTTCTCTTATAACTTGTTGAATCTTTGGAATAGATTATCATTTAGAGATTTCTGTCAATTCATATCTTTTCCGATTTACTAAGAATTGCTTAGTAGAAAATAATCTGGAAGCATAATTAAAATCTGGACTGATCTTGCTCTACTTCCCAAGATTGCCTTGGAAACAATAGCAAAAGTACTTAGAAATATTAATATGTAGGAGGGCTGGCAACTCATTTGGATAATTACGTCTTACAGCTAATTAGATCGCAATTATTGATTCCAACAGTTCATTTCTAATGATTTATAAGAAAAATACTTAATCTATTTAGATTTACAATGAATGCATAGGACGAAACATTGTTTCCAACCTGTATTCTCAAGTTGATCTCTATTGATGATAAGGATTCGTAGAACTGTGCGAGAATACATTTAAAATCCTGTCATATTATCAACACTAAGCATACTCTACGTATATTAAAGCTCCAAGCTTTGAATAAAACTATCTTCAGTCATTGAACTTCGCCAATCGACCAGCAAAATAGCATCTATTCCTCAAATCATTTTAATCAGCTATCAAGCTTCCTTGTCAGCGCCACAGTTCCTAGATAGCAGCAAATTATTTCTGGCTTCTGAATAGTTACGACCTATCGCAGTATTACTTTTCAATTTTCCAGTAAATTGATGCTCTTCCATTAAAGCAATGCTATTCATAATCGAGTCATGGGTTGTCATTAGTCACGGTTCCGTGAGCATCCGAATTAGACTATTTTGAAAATCTCGGTCCATGCATTACAGATTTATTTTTACAAAAAAGGCATTCATGGTTATGCTGCAACATATTTTTGATGACAATTAATTTTCATTACGATAAAATAAATTTCCGCAATGACTCGACATATATTGTGCATTAATGTGAAAGTAAAGAAGTGACATTTGACATCTCATATTGCTCTCGCGTTGGATATGAAAATTCCACGATTACCATAAATTTAAATTTTCCTCTTATTTTACTTGTCATCGATCTGGCAGATGATGCTGTGCTTGAAATTTTTATTTTCGTATCTTAAATGTCAAAAAATAAATCAGCATGAGTAAGGATGCATCTAAATTGTTTTAGTCTGCACAACCTGATACCTGAACCTGCACATGCAATGCACATCATATATACGTTCATAAACAATGGATTTATATGTTATTTACAGAACGACATTGTCTTTTATTCCAACATAAATTTTCATGTACGAACAATAGAATTTCATTTCCCATTGTTGGATTGACTTTTATTTGATAGATTTGATCAAACATGATTGAACTTTATCGACGAGTCACACAAGCTAATGTTCAATAGTTTGTCGAATAAGTTCAATTTGGTTGGAAAATGTAAATATCCATTAATAAAACAGGATTGATAGTCATTAGTGCTTGTTGGGTTTGTCTGCTTAGTAAATGTATGTTACGTTGAACATAATGGAATGAAAATGGAAGGGATTTACTTAATTTTGAACATAGAATTGGATATTTTATAGCGCACGTATTTAGGAACTACCAATTAGCTGAACTTTAAGACTAATTGTCATTTGAATTTGATAATATTGTAATTTTTTTCTCAGCAAGTTGTTTTCCCCTTGATTTTTCTATTACAACTTTTTCCATCAAGTTGTTCCCCTCTTGGTAGTGACATTTAACTTATATCATATCCCAATGTTAGCATAAGAACAGAGTCCGTTACAAACAAAAAAAATTCAAAATTTTTGCGCGGTATTATTTTAAAATTTTAAAATAAGAAAGTCCGTTACTTTTATTTTTTTTTAAACTAGCTGTTTTTTAAAGCATAAACATTTAAGGGGTGCAATTTCATCACAGTGATTATCTTAATCATAAAAACTAATAGGAATGTTCACTAAAATTACAAATTTTTTTAAAAATAAGAACTTCGAAGATTCGATTTTCGAAAAATAAGAACCTCAAAAATTCGAAGTTCGAATAATAAGAACTCAAAATTTTCTGTTTGCTAGCATTGGATCATATCTGTCCCACCAGCTTCTTTAATACCCACAAAATCCTTAATCTACGCCACATCATCCTAATTATACCAAAAAAAAAAAAAAAAGTAATTTGCTAATATAAACTAGCTTCATTCATCAAAATACTTGAAAAATTACAGCCATTGTAATCTCTCTTCACATCCATTTATAATCCTTTACCACAATCTAATCCATTACCTCGTTGGATAGTTCTTTATCAAGTTAAAATCTCAAAACCGCCTCAACATATATTTGAGAATTTCCATCATGTTACCTTTACAATAATATTCACAGCACGAATGTTCATTTTATATCGTTACAAAACCTGTTATTACTTTAATATCCTCCCAGAATAAAAGCTCAAAAATATGTGACTTAAAGTGATACTCGTAATTCTTTCATGTCATGTCTCGAAAACTTATCATTCTTACATCAGAAGTTCTTCATTTTCTTCTTTTAACTTTTTTTTTGTGTGTGTGCATGTCATTGGGAACGCAAATCTTATGGATATGAAACTTCCTTGCTAACAGCTATTTTGTATTACAATTTCATTTATATTTCATATACTTTTTTTTGAATAAGAGATTATCATATTTTGATTTGAGGATGATAAAGATGAAAGGGAATGTATGAGACATAAGTTGTCATGCATTTTTATGAGGAACGGAAAGAAATAATAAGTTATCAAATGTCATTTGTTGCTTGCAGATATTTCAACGATTATTATATTCCATTTATGGCAGAGTTGGGTAGCTATGTTATGCTCTTAAATGTAGTCTTAGTGATTTTTAACAAGACCTAAACTTCATCTTATTGTCAGGGTAGTTGAATAGCTCACGAAATTCTGCATTAGATTATACATCAAGTCTGGATTTTTAAGCTACCGTGGAACTTTACTTCCCTGTAATGTCGTGAGATTTGTGCGAATCTTTGTCATATCGACAACACTCTATAAAATAATTGAGAGATGGGTCTCTGGTAGGAATCAAACCAACATCCTATCAAAAGATTGTTACAGATATCCAGTCTGTTGCCTAACCACTCGCGCCACAGAGGCATAACCCTCGAACTGGCAGATTCGCTTATATATGAGTTAATAGCACCGATTCCACTCTGTTTATAGCCATACTACCCTAGAATCAACCCGTAATATGAATAGGAAAATCAACCCGTATAGAATAACCCTAAAAACTGGCCAAGCAACTGATCAAATCATGCACTACTCAAAACAACCATTCACTTGATCAACAACCCTGATTCTTCATATAAATACAGTCAAAAGATACAAAAAGTAGCACAATATCATGCAGATTATATGACACACATCTCTGCTTAATAGAACATGAAAATAATTTTTTTAATTAAGCTAGGAAGTTTCTCATATTTTGTTGCAATTTTCTTGACTGAAAATATTATTTTTTTCTCACTGTTCATATCCTCTTGGGGATGAAAAATGCACTACAGCATAAGTCAATTATTAGTACGTTCATTATCATTACCGTTTCACTCCAATGCTAGCAAACAGAAATTTTTGAGTTCTTATTTTTCGAACTTCGAATTTTCGAGGTTCTTATTTGTCGAAAATCGAATCTTCGAAGTTCTTATTTTAAAAAAAATTCGTTGTGAATTATTATTTTTCGAGTAATTTGTAATTTTAGTGAACATTCCTACTAGTTTTTATGATAAAGATAATCACTTTGATGAAATTGCATTCCTTAAATGTTTATGCTTTAAAAAACAGCTAGTTTAAAAAAAAATAAAAAGTAACGGACTTTCTTATTTTGAAATTTTAAAAAAATACCGTGCAAAAATTTTGAAATATTTTTGTTTGTAACGGACTCTGTTCTCTTTGCTAACATTGGGTTTCACTCTTGTCCTGGATTTTTAATGAGTCCTACTTTCTCGCTGCATTTCAATTTCTATTTATGTTTCATAAGTTCCATAATGATAATGCATATGCAGCATAAAGGAAGGAATTTGAGTGCATAGTTTATGTTATGAAGGAATTTTGTGAATTAATGATGACTTGCATTACTATTTATGACTTGGAATGTAGATATGAAATTGATAGGAAATTCTTTGATTGCTGATGATATGAAGTTGAATAACTGATGAGTTACGTAAGCATAGATATGAGGTTTCGTGTGCAATGACAATTCTATAAATATCTACCTACTCATTGTTTTGTATATTGAATTTCTATGGGATTATTAGGAATATAATTTTCATTGTTTGTTTGTATTTTTAATTTTTAATGATGATATGATATGTAACTCGATGGGATAGCAAGTCAATTGACCTAAATTAATCTGGAATGATAATTGTGATAGTTTTTAATCAACTTATATGATCAAATTTTGATTGTGACTAAGGGAGGATTGTACTTCATGTAGCCTTAGAAACTGATTCCAGATCAAATTCTTTGTGGATTAGTGATCAAATCTTATCCAACGCGTTAGCAATAGTCTACATAAGTCTAAGAGCATTTATCAATACTGAATCAGATCTTTTCTCATCTGCCAAAATGTCTAGGCAGTCTAGGCCAGTGTTTCTCAAACTATAACCCAAGGACCTTTACTGTTTCGTGAAAAAATCATCTAGAAGTGTATAAAGTGGTTGCTAGCGTGACGCAGAAACATAAAAGAATGATCTACTGCTCTGTAGCTTGTAGAGAGAGAAGCGAAGCTTTGAAAGTGACATATCCCTAGTAACCAAAATGTTCCATATAATCTTCCTTCGACGTCGATGGAAGATCAAATGTATCATTATTTATTATATGGAAAATATTTGTTTTACAAATATGTAACAGAAGTGTTCCATCGAAGTATTACCCGAGCCTGCTTAGGATCAAATCCTATGAAATATCATCAAAAAAATATTTTTTTGCAGGAAAATAATATTTGTTCTAAATTTGGCATTTGCCATATACTTCACAATTGCTCGAAGAAATCACTATTATAAGTTCTCTCTAAATTTGTATGGGGCTTTCAATTAATTATTTATCTTCCTCAGGTTTATGTGCGAGTCTTGGTCGTTCATCAGTATGCGACTTAATTAAATTAAGTCCTTTTGTTCTTTTTCGTAGTGTTAGTGTACTTTAATTAAGTACACACTAATACTTTTACAAAAAATTACACAAATAAATAAAAAATACAAAATAACACGTGGAATTTAACACGTGTTTTATTCAAAAAAAAGTAATCCATTTGTTTTCCATTTGTATTCCTTTGATGTATTACATTGATGTCTTATTGCATTGTCCATTTATCTTCCATTTTCATAGGACATCATCTTCCGATGGATAATACATGGATAATACATATGTATCATCCATGGAAGATTGATCTACATTGATACATTGATCTACCTTTTGGTTACTAGGGATCAAGTCAATAAACACACAACACATACATTTTGAATAAATTAAATAAATTAATAAGTTTTCTATAGTATTAAGTATTAAATTGTGTTTAAATATATTGTTTAAGTGTGCTAAAATAAGCGTTAATTCAATTAAGTCATAAAAACCGCAAGTTAAACTATAGAAAAGTGACTTTTTTATAGTTTAACTTGCGGTTTTTATGACTTAATTGAATTCAAAATGTATGTGTTGTGTGTTTATTGACTTGATATGAGACTCCCCCTTCTAAGCTCCCCTTCACTTTCAAAGCTTAGCTACTCTCTCTACAAGCTTAAAAAAGTTTGAAAAACACGGGGCTAGACAAGATCTCGAAGTAGATTCGAGATTTTCATCGATTTTGTATAACTAAGTCGACTCCGAGTCGATTCGACTCTATTCAAAATTTCATCGACTTCGAGCTCTGGTCTAGACTCTTAAACAACTCAGGGGAAGTCATCAGATGTAAAACTTTATTTCCACAACTTTATCTAAACTTGAAAGAAAAGTTTAAAAGATAAAATAATGTAAATAAACTGTACTAAGAATAAGTAAGTCTTCTGTCATATTTGCCGGATCATCTCTTCTTTTCTAAATAAGTTTTACAAAACAAATTCAAAAAAAAAAGTTTTTCATGAAAAAAAATCATGTCAACTTTATTTTTATCTGACATTTTGTTTACATTTCATGTAATTGCCCCCCACAAAATTCAGGAACAAAATCTCTGGCATTTAAAGTTTATTTTTAAAACAAGTTTATGACGACAAAAAAAAAAGGTGAAACATGAGCATCAAATGAAATATTAGATTGTCAATTAAATTCTGTCATTATTGAACGTTTCATTAGAATGGATGCAATACAAATATAGAAAGCTCTTATGGATGGCAATTATAGCATCTGCTTGAATCAATAATCCTTAAAATTGATTTTTCTATCCCTTCATTTCTAGGTGTAACATGTGTGTTTTTAATATTAAATATCAGTCTGGCTGTTCTTTTAAAATTTTGCGGAAAGTCGCGATTTAGAGGCGCAATATGGGAAATATCGCCACTGCTTGCATGGTTATTTGCTATAACACAACTATTTCTACAACTTCTACTCAAAGAAGCCGTCACGCCCAGGTAAGATTATTAAGATTATTTATGTATCATTCATGAGTGAGGAACATAAAAAATCAAAAAAATTAGTCAGCACGGATCCAATTTTCCATGTGGATAAATTTTCATGAATTAATGCAGTAATCAAGGATCTAATTTATATACCGGAAAATGTGCATCCTGAAAATTAATTGACCTCATAATTTAAATTAACGTATTTGAAAGTGGAGCGCATGGAAAAAAGGTGGATTGTGAAATGAATTGTAAAGCAAATTAAATTAAATTCTCGTCCTATTTTGTTGTTGATTTCATTAATTTTGTCTTCTACTAATTCAACTTAATTGGTAGATGTTAAGGGGTTGATTTGTTCATTTGAAGGTTGATTAGTGTAAATAGGTAATGAATTAGACAAATAGAATTATCAGTCTAAGTTTGTCTATTAAGTTATTTGTAGCTATAAAGTTCGTGGTTTTATTTGAAAATCTGATGCGTTATATCGAGCACTAGGTCAAGATCAAGAAGCTAAGATGTAGTTCAAAAATGACGTCACATATTAAATTTTTAAATTAAAGACACTCCCACTTGAGGGTGTAAAATGATAAACTATAGCTATGCGTTACAAGGCTAATGAAAGTTTAACGAGAGTCGGTTCACCAAACCACAGCACTCAAACCTAGACCTACAGTTTACAGTAAGTTCCGAACCACTCCTCTGATGACATTTTTACCTGGAGCATACAAAGGAAATCTGCGATCCTCATTTCCATTACATATGATTCAAAGAAAGACAATTAAAACATTTTCCTATGCCGAATCTCGAATCCATCCTGATCGCTGTGTCAGTATTGCAATAATTAAGTACCGAAAAACTAAACCATTCTGCCACCGAGCCACACCAGCTCATTTGAGGGTTTATATGATTCTAAAAAATTTCTGGCTACGCTACTGACCTGAGCATCATTTATGAACGACCTCTAAGGAGCTACATATGCAAATAAATAAGGTTGAGAGCTTAATTATGCTTAATTTTGTACATTAGGTATTTAGATGTTTGCTCAATCAGGGACTTAGCAAAGGGGTTTTTTGGAGTAACCCCGTCCTTCCTTTCCTGCTAGTCACCAGAAAAATATCTCTAACCTCAAGCTACTTTCCTGTATCTAGGTCAATTACTGTCCAGCTTCAGTTTCAACTTAGTATGAAGCTTTGATTTTAACTCTCAGGCATTTTAGTACATCAGGACTGTTCAAGTAGCATGTTTCAGAATTATTTGACACAGTCCACTAGAGATATGGACACCCTAGCCTCATTAGTAATCCACTCAGTCATACTTAATGCTAGACATGATTTATTATTCCTCAGACGCTGAATATTTATACAATCCTCGTCTTCTTTTCTAATTAACAGAAGTGTACAAATTTATTCAAAACATTTTTTGAGTTATTAAAATTCTCATTTTCCGTCCTTCAACTGTGATTCCAAGAAATAAGATTTGCTTCATCTGAATAATTAAAATCTTCTAAGGTGCTTCAAATAATAATAATTTTAATAATTTTAGACTAGATTTGAGTCATAAAAGAGATAAAATTTCAGAAAAATATCAAAAGAGAAAAATTACTAACATTTAGCGTATATCCTCCCTCATCCTATGAAGACACCAACCCCAACAACAAAGAACTTTCTTGATTAATACCACAGAATCTTATTACTCCTTCCCAGAGAGATAAAGCTCGTGATAATAGAAAATAATTGAATCAACGACGTGTGCCATAATTCATAAGATTCAGGTGGTTTACTTTTTGACTATGATCGATGCGACCAGAATTTATTAAGGTTAATAAAAGAATGAAAAATTGAGGGAAAATCACAAAATAAATTTGTTATGTATTGTTGAGGATTTTTTTGAAATGATTTTTTGCAAATGCTGTCCTTTATTACTTATTGATAGAAGAATGATACGATGGAGGAATATCAATGAAGGAGATTAAGATGGGATTTGAGTGGTTTAAAAGTTTTATTGTGGTTGTTTGGAGTTAAATGGCTTTGATTTGTGGATTTCGATTGAATTTTCAAAGTTTTACTTAAGGTTTGAGTTTGAAACTTTAACAGTCGAAAATCATTTGAATTTGAAATTTTAACGTTTGAAAATAATTTGAATTTGAATTTTTACCGCTCAAAAATGATTTGAATTTGAATTTAACAGTCAAAACTATTTTGAATATTATGTAGCTATTCTAAATTTAAAATTTTTAAGACCGTTAATTTTTGAAACGTTAAAATGCAAAAAAAAACCTTTTTCTCTCAAACATCCACAAAATAATCATAAAAGTTTTCAATTGAACCACAAAGAGTTCGATACAAGCCAACAAATTGTCAATTAATTTCCAAACCCTCGAGCACCTCAAAACAATTTGCTCCTCATATGTAATATTTAAACTTTTACAATTTATTAAACTTTCCATCCTATTTGCTGTACCATTTATGTGTTTACATAGATCTTTTGCAGACCACTCTTCAAGTTTTCTGACATCCACTTTATCACATTTTAATAGTGCACAATAATTCATAATTTATTTAAATTTAAATGAAAATTCATTAAAAATCCACAATCAAGCAGTCAAATTTAAGTATGAAATTTATTTCTTTTTTGTGGTGGCAAAAAAATCGTATTTCTAAATTTTATGACTACTGTCAATAAACTGACAAAGTTTTATTTATAAATCCTGATGTTGAATTCACAGAAGACACAAAATGAAAATTCATCTCGCTTTGCGTCTGACAATATTTTTCCTCTGTTTCTTTAAAAGTGTCAAGGCATAAAATATAAATGTTCATTTTTCCTTTTCATTCACTTGTTTATTTATAGAGATTCTCTTGGATGGGCTGTTCTTTTAAATTTTTTAGTATATATCACAATTCCTGTAGTCTTTCAATACACTGGCATTTTATTGGCAATTGGATCCTTTGCTGTATATATGGGCATCATTATAGAAGCGGCTCGAATGGAGGAATACTTTTGGGAGCAGGTAAGAAAAAATGTTTTTTTAACCTTTATAAAATGAATTGAATGATAATTTTGGATTTGAGGGGTTTATTTATGGCGCAATTTTGGATTGGAGTAAATTCGATTTATAGTAAATTGCCTTATTTATAGCTGACATTGTCAATTCTATCCAATTTTGTCTAAATCTTGCACTTTAAGTTCTAAAAGTAGATTCACAACTTTCAATAGGATTCGAACCTACTGATTTGTAGATTTTTCTGCCTGTTGCCATTAAAGTTTGATTTTTCGTTCAATTAATTCGATAAATCGATATCTAGTCCAGTTTGGTCGTATATCCATATCTATCTACTCTGTGTTTAATATTAATCCCTTATCCATCGCTTTGTCAAGCTTACATTAAATAAAAATCGAAACTTTCCGATTCAAAAACATTCAAAGCCACTAAGTCACACCACATCCCAGGTCGCAAATTTCCACAATGATTTACAGCATGCAGAAAAAAATTTCATCAACAACCTTGAGAGCGTACAATCATACATGCTCAAAAAAAATGCGCTACATATAATTTTTCCCATAGCCAATAACCATCACATTCTCAAACCGATTTAAAATGAGATGGAAAGTTCAATAGCTTAATACTTCTTTAGGACATTATGGATTATGGGGATATTGACGCATGTTCGTGAAATAAATAATATAATATTGTTATAATCCTGATTGGAAATTGTTATGGCTCATTTTAAAATCACATTCTAAAAATATCAACAGGTTTCCATTCTCAACCACACAGAAATGAGAATGAAAAAGTTTTGAGATATTCCATTAATACACCTTTAATCTTTAATGGAAATTTCTTCACACGATATGAATAAGAAGTTGAAGTCTGTGCCTCAAAAAAGGTCTTAACAATTTCTCTCTCCAAAATCCATCTTTTTAAATTGAATCCATACTGAGAGGGGCTTAAGGAAGTAAATTCATAAATCAGAATACCAAACTTACATACCAACGAGCCCCCTTTTAAAAAAGAATCTACTTGATGTATAACTTTGGGTTATATTAAGAGAAATTTGTCATCATTATGTCTTAGACGAGTTGAATTAAAATTCTCACCCTTAAAAATGGCAAGCGATTCTTCTTTTTAAACAAGATGAGGAAAAGGAATTGGAAAATTTCATTAAGGCTTAAGAAACTTTTTTTCCTTTTCGCAATTGCTGTGAAGGTTACGATTTTTTAATTCTATTATTTAATTACATACAACTAAGTTTTCAAGTTCCATTGCTGGTAGGAAAGTTTATGTTACGATTGAATATTTGTTTAAGTTATGAAGTAGCTTAGGGGTCGGTCACTTATGACGTCCAAAATTAACGATCATTTTTCAAAAAATTACAAAAGTCCTCGTTCTTTGAAATTCAAAATTTTTCAACGGTAGAAATAAATTCGAATTTCTAAACGCTCTCATCACGTGTTTTTTCATATGAAATATAAAAATCATTAATTATAGTATTTATTCATTGTTTTACGGTTCGAAAATAATCGATAAGCCAATAAAACAATGGACCAGAGTTAATAAAACAAACTAGCGGTCTCTACGATGTCTGGTTAATGAGATCTCAGACACAGCTGAGCAGCCGAACAAAGTGAATAATTAAGCTACCTTTTTGAAACAAGTTTCAAAAATGCGCTAAAAAGAATAATGGATTTCCAGGCATTTCTATTGTTCTTATCTTTCTTATTAAATGCAACATTAGTAATCGCATTAAAATTCATTGAATGTAATTGAGAGAAACTTACTAAATGATTGAGAGTTGGATTGCTAAATTTATCGTTACTTTTGCATTTTTCTGCACATCCAACTCATCTAAATGACTTTTTCATAGCTACATTTTCAAAACTATTTAAATTCTATCCTTCAATGTCACAGACTTTACAATTCACTTCCCACAACTAAATGACATAAAATTTTCACTATAATATTTTTTATTTCAACTTATTTTATTACGACACAGTTTTATTGTGACACTTTTATTTAAAGTGCATTTCCTAATTCAAAATGTCACGTTCTTTCCTGACTATCTTAAATAATGATTATATGCCATAACATTTTGTGCACATGCAGGAGCTGTAAAACATGTGTTTCTTGTGGATAGATGTTTAAACCTGTGAAACGATATGATGTCATAAAATTGTTAACAACATTCTTTTCGTGTGTATATTGGTTTCATATCCACATGTGCTGCAAACGTCAAAGTGAAGCGGAAATAGATAGAAAGTTTGTGTAAGGAACGCACGATGATTGTGAATTTTTCTAGAAGAATTTTTCTCAAGTTTTTTGAAGAAGACTCGAGCTTGAATTTGCTTTTCTAATTTTGGAACTGAGTTGGCTGTGGGAGGGAGGAACTGATCATTAAATGTTTAATTATTCATGTTTATTGTTTTTTTGCTTGAAACTTAAAGATTTTTTTGGATCTTATTCAAAAGAGACAATTGTAAATGTTTGTGCAATGTCTACTTGTCTATAAAGTCTGTTAAGGTTCCCGTTTGTTTCTAGAATGTTTTGGTAAGCAAATCGTTTAATGCCTTTTGAATGACATTCAGAACAAGAGCCGAAATTCGATAAATTCCATTTTATCCTTAACCAAGAAAACTTCCAAAAAGTCCAATTTTCATAATATCCATTGTTCTTTAAACGATTCTCAACATTAAATCTTAAACAAACCATGTGAAATTACCCAAAAACTTTTCCTTAAATTCAATGAACCACTCGCTTCCATCTTCTATTTCAAGTCAATTTCCAACAAATCTCACAACGAAGTTTAACCATAAATCACGTGAGGCAAATTCCTTACTACATGAGATTCAATATTTCCTTCCAAATAATACCCGTACCGAAATTGATTTTTTAAAGTTTATCGAGAAAAGCACTTCTTCTTCCATGCCATCATCTCCTGCAACCAGAATAAAAACTGAAAGTGTAAAAGGTGAGAGGAGCATTGTTTGTGTTAGGGTTCAATATTCTTTCAATAAATACGCACTTTCACATTAAAAGGTCGTTGAGGTACGCTTATGTATACTTTTATCATTGCACGAGACGAGAAGACAACCCTTCAGTCTAATCGAGTATGCAAACAAGCACAGTTCCACTTAATGGCCTTTAATGTCTTTACTTTACAATATTTTCAGGAACACAAATGTGTCGATCAACTTTTCATCCCTTACTTCCAAGTTTATTTTTGGGATATGTACTTAGGGGTTGTTTGAAAGTGACGTCAATCAAAAATTTGGATTTCTTAAACCTTAGTTTCTTGTAAAGCTCCAAAAAAGCCTTAAAGAAAGCAACTTACTCTCAGCTATTCAACCTAGACCTCACTTATGAACGCCTCCCTTGTATATTTCCGTTCATTTCACTCTCGTCACAGTAATCGAAATTTAGCGTGCGACATTGCGTTTTATAAGAAATCGAAAGGTTGACAAATTGAGTTGGTATTGAATTCAGTGTTTACTCAAGTGCTGTATATATACTATATAGGAAATTAGACTCTATGTATATTGTGAATGGCTTTCATCATTCTTTCAATTTGTTGTCACATAAAAAGATATTGTCGCTTTCACGTACTCTTACGAAGATTGTTGAAATGAATGGACCAATTCATTTTGTATCATTATTATACAAGTAGAAGTGCTTGAAAATGACAATGAAATAGGATTTATAGACGAGGAAGTCTACGGAGAGATGGGAGAGTGAATTAATGAGCTCAAGTGTGACAATTTTTTTAAAGGTTCATATCTGATGTAAGTTTGTTGACAGTTTTGCAAGTTGTTGGCAATTTGCATTTGTGATTTGTAGATTTCTGGTCTGGAAAGTTCAGTACTTAAAAAGCAAATGAGAGTTTAAAAGCCTACAAATCAAATTTTTGAAATATTTGCAAAAATTATTCGTTGTCATTCTCAATATAAGATGGAGATTAAAGGGCTACCTGTGCCATTGTCTAGTCACAAAATGGCTTTAAAATGAGATTTATAGATCATATCCACCTCTTTTTGAGAGCGCGGAACCAATCAACTGATTTTCATTAGTTTTTGATCCTTTTGCTCAGTTCTTCGTCATTTGCCTCCTCCCTTTTCCGTTCTCTCTATCTATAACCATCCAATAATCAGACCAGATTTCTTATTCAGCTTGTCAATCCATCATGGCATCTTTCTATCTGTTTGTACAAAAGTTCAGTGTTCCAATAAGTTTGCCCATAAGTTTATGTCATTAATCATTAACAATTCTACGTATCTTAAGACGTACATTTCCATGTATTTATATATTTGAAGTCAAGACCTTTCTGTTATAATTGGCAAGCGACATAGTAGTGATAAAACTAGTATGAAGTTAGCCTAGCTTTGATGTAACATGTCTTTGACTTTTGGGTCAATCTGTGGTTTAAAACAGATTCTATGTTTTGGCATCCTGGAATTGTAAGGTGCAATCGAGTGACATTGATTAAAAAATCACTTGTAAGCTTTCCGTTGGATGCTACATTTGAAATTATCATTAAATTAATCCGGAGATGCGCCATAAAAACCCCAATCTTCAATTTATAACTCAAAACCAGAACAAAATCTTAGCTAATTATTTAGTGCAAGGAGAAAAAAGAATGTAATTAATTACGGATGTATACAACATGTATATGTAATGCACTTTACCTATAAAGAAATCACTTGGACAGCTTCCAAATCAGATGTGCTCATCTAATGACTTTTTTTTTATTTATCTCGTATTCTATTTAGCAAACTGCCAACGTACTCTTGATTCTTACAGCAGCTTTAATTGGCCTTTTATGTTATTTCTTGGGCGAGGGAAAGCAGAGGCGAGCATTTGTCGAGGCTAAACAAAGTTTAGAAGTTAAAACTTTGATTGAAGAGCAATCTGCTGAGCAGGTAAGGGATATAAAATTCTAGTAATTATCTTATAATTAATTGAAGATGTAAATTGAAGGGAACCCACACCAAAAACTCGTGAGCAATCACAATCTTCGCACACTTCCTTCACTTGTATCATTAACATTTAATTCTTTTTGATCTTTTACAGGAAAGATTGTTGCTGTCAGTGCTTCCTGAGCATGTTGCTGTTAAAATGCGTCAAGATCTCGGCTCTAATGATTCGGAACAATTTAAGAAAATTTACATGAGCCGTCATGAGAATGTCAGGTAATAAATACACAATAAAAATTCTCATCTCTTGCAGCACACATAATAATAACAATAAGATAAAAATAATAAAAGGGAATAAAAATGTTGAGCGTGCTACTCGCATTCAGTAAAAAGAAATATTTTTTATGCTCATATGAGCTTACTTACTTAATTCTTTCTCTTTCGTTTTTATTATGTAGTAAACATGAACGAAATAAAATTATTTTTCTTTGCTGCTGCCTTGCTTTCATCATGGAACTTGATTAGTAAATTCTATGGATCTCTGTATCTTATTAAATTAGTAAGAAAGCTTTATTGTGAGTAAAATGGAGAGCATGTAAAGTTAGTTTTAGCAAAAGCTTTAATCAGATAAAGATGGAAGCAGTCAGTTGAGAATCCTTAAGTTAGGGCTTCGGTTTGTAATTCTATAGACTTGGGTTCGATTCTTAGTCATATAAATCTGGTTCAATAAGGTCTTTATAAGCTTATATCATTAATATAGAGTATTAAAGCTTTCATAAATTGTCTTAATGCTTAACTATCAATAATGAATGCTCAGCTCTTCTTGTTGAAGTATCCTTGCCATTTTGGTCTAAAACTAAGAACATAATCATTGTTCTTGATGTATTTAACAAATTTTTAGATTAAAGTCCTCTTAAAAATATTTTCTAAACACCTTTACCGCAATAAAACATCTCTCAATGCGTGACAGTCAATGCTACTGCCTCGCCCACAAATTATATCCTACGCTCTTGCCTAAAACCATTGAGAACTTACAAGTATATCTACCAGACTTGCGTCATTTCGAATGTTGGCAGTTATGTAAAATTTTGAAAAATTCAAAATTTATTTTCCGTTAAAGCATAAAGCAAAATTTTGCTTTAATTAAGCTACAGATTATGAAGCTTTTCGATCAGCATTACTAATTATGTGATCAGTAGGTTGTTAATCATTGTTTCAATTAAGAAAATTCTTAAATTAAGAAAATTCAGTTGAATTTGAAAAATGTAAGTGTGTTAGTGTAAAAATATCTTGAAAATATTTCTGCAAAAAACTCTTTTGTTTCTTGATATTCATGATTTTAAAGCTTATCAATGTTCATAAATAATAACAAACTTTGATTCTAAGCTAGTTGACAGTAATTATCATAGCTAAAATGCTCAAAATTCAGCATAGAATTTTTTAAAGTTTTACCGGTTGAATTGAGTTTAAATTTTCGAAATAAATTTCGAATTTTTCGAAACCAATTTCGAATTTCTACGAAATGAAATGACGCAAGTCTGATATCTACAACTAAACATAAAAATATTTCCAAATAACTTCCGGTAGAATATTTCGACATGATTCTCATGTTTTCTTCCTACTCGCCTTCTACCCAACCTTTCGGTTTTGTTTACACTTCCCACTCAATAATTTTTGGTGCATAAAACTTTTCTGTCTCCTTTTTTTAAACAGAAAAAGGAATTTTTTCGTTACTATTTATTTACTGAGAAAAAAAAACGAATTGTCATGTCAATACATCTTCATTGGTATTTTATTAAGGATTTAGATGGGCTTTATTCTGCACATAATTTTTTTTTGTGACATCGGATAAAGAGCTTTCGTAGGTTTAATTTACCTTAATTCTAAATGGTGATCCTTAAAAATATTTTAGTATGATTATCAGGGGTTTCGTTCGGATCTTAATAGGTTTAGTGACTAGACCATTGGCTCTCTAGCTACACCTCAATGTTGATTCATGCTTTTAAAACTTTAAGGCACAAAAATTTATCCAGCTGGAGTTCATTAAACACAAAAATTTACTTAATTACCATCAGCCTTAATTGAATTTTCTCTTTCCTGCTGTTCCAGTTTTAAATCCATCTCGACATTAACTTTTTTTAAGAACGAGCATAAAAATATAATTGACTAATGAACGAAGACTTTTTTTATGGATTTCCTAATGAACGAAAAGCTTGTTTATTGTAGGGAAATTTTCATCAACGATAAAAAAATCACGCCTGTATAAATATCGCCTAAAGCAAGAGTCATGCTACCTGCCTTTTGATGTCAAATGAGTCCTTTTTTGTGAGAAGGAAAAAAAGGGTTTCAAAAACGAACTTTTCATGACAATTTCTTAATAATAACTGTCGACTTATTGTTAATTAAATTTCAAGAAAATCTTTCATTTGACTAAGGAACGTGTCTGAAATCCACTAGAAATAAATTAAAATTTATGATCTAAGAAGCATAAATTATTAATCAGTAGAGTCATTATTCATACAAGCTAGCTATTGATTTCACATAAAATTCCCTTCACACCTCATAGTTGAGGTGAACAAAATATAGATCCAATCGATTAGCATCATCGTCTGTGGAACTTTTTTAATTAATTTACCTCATAAAACTTTATCATTAATTAAGGAACTTAGATCAATAAATTTAATAGGACAGAACTTATTTATTTTAATTAACAACATTCAATCTTAAAGCTACATCGATAATATCTTTTGTCCAGTTTACAAATACAGCAACAATGGAAGCATAGAAAGCAACATTTTTTATCTTTTTGAGCACAGTGGACATTGAATGAGAAAATAATGAAGCACTTGTTGTAAAAAAAAAATTTTCTGCAAAGCTTGTGATAACAAAAAAAAACAAGCTGCTTTGCTGTGAGCATCAAATAATGATGAGAACAATTTTTCTGTTCATCAATAAATTGCTTTGAAGCTAGTCACAATGTTTAATATATTGAAAAATATTGTTTCTTTGTTCCTTGTTTACTTAAATTTGGGATTATTGTTATTGGATTTTTCGGGGAATTGACTGAAAGATAAGCATGTAGAATCTAGAATTTTTAATTTAAATTTCTGCATCAATATGGCGTTCAGCAAATTAAGAGGCAAAAATTTCGCATCAAAAGTGCGTTCAGTAAATTAATATATAACATTTTCGCATCAAAAGTGCGTTCAGAAAATTTAACTTCAAAAGTGTGTTTACTACATTAGGGACAAATCAAATCTTACTTTGGTAGGCAAGCAGAAATCTCGCATCACGAGTGCGTTCAAAAAAATGAGGCTGAATTCTCACATCTGAATTACGTTTAGCAAATTATGAACCAAAAATTTCGCGTCATGAGTGCGTTCGGGAAATTATGATGCAAACATTCTTTAAGATTTTATAAGTTCTAAAGGAAAATTTTAATCTATTACGATCAAAACTCTCAACCAATAAAAAACACTTAATATTTTGTCGCACTTCCGATATCTAAAATCTCTATCAAAAAATGACAGAGTGTAAGTTTTTGTAGATTTTTAAGAGTATAGGTTTTAACTTTGACATGAAATTTTTGATAAATAAAATATCGTCAGTCCTTCTAGGAATAAGGGAGCTTTAATCTCGATTCTAGATTTTTATTGGTGAACCCAAAAATAACTAGATATCCTCTACCATTTTCAATAAATTTTCCAAGCGATATTTATCAAAACTCTATAGACTACTTGATACAGCGATAACTGCTCAATATTTTGTAATCCCTTCACAAACTGTTCATTTATTTATCAAATCATAAAACATTTTTTTTTCCAATAAATAAATGAATTTATTAAAATTATTTTCTTGTCATTCCAGCATTCTGTATGCAGATATTGTTGGCTTTACAGCAATTTCGTCAACATATTGTGCACAGGATCTCGTAAAAATACTCAATGAACTTTTTGCACGCTTTGATCGATTGGCAGAGGTGAGTTGGTAACGTGAACTAAAAAATATATAAATGAACAAAAATCGATTTGTTTATGCGAGGAGAGAAAATATGTTTGGAAAAAAAAATATGAAAATAAACAAAAAATATTGTTTGTTATTGTCGCTTCTATTTTTAGAGCAAATTGAAAATTTTTACTACGTTTTTCTTAACTTGCTTTCTTATCTGTTTGATTGATTGATTGATTGATTGATTGATTGTCCGCAAAATTTCGTACTTTTGTAATCGATTTTTCGACCACTTCTACTGCTCCAATCGAGCTCGAATTTTTAATGCACACGTATTCCCGGTGACAATACAATATTTTAATACTTTGGAAACACAAAAATGCTTAATTATAGTACAATTTATGTAAAACTTTTTTATATGGGAAAAAATCCAATGTCAATGATATAAAATTTTGATTTATATTAAATATTATACTTGTGATGCTCTAAAGTCATTTATATGACTCAATATAGTTTAATTAATATTACTAATTATTAATTATACCATAAATTTGAGCAGCTAAAGATATTCTGGTAAGACAAAAAAATTGACATGTAATTTTTTCATGAATAGTCGTAAGTGAAAATTTGAATTTTCAAAAAAACCGTTAAGCAATAAATTCGTTACGAATTAATGCAAAATAACTATATATATGAGATATGCATTTACCACACATAGTTTGAGCATAAATTTATGCTGTTTTAAATGTATTGCATTATTCATAACACTTCACCAGCTTAATTAAATTGACTTTTCTTTTTATTAACGGCTTGACGTATTTTTGCATAACATATAAATGATATTCATTGAATTTAAATTTGAAAATCCGTTATAAATACGTTACATATAGATGTGATTTGCATCTTTATGTTAAGAATCCACAAGTTATGAAGTAGAAATGGTACAGATAAACACAAAATCTTTACGAGTGATTTTTAATGTACTTTACTAATGAATGCTTTAAAAAAATTAAATTTTATAAAACGAATGAAAAATTTTGAAAGTCGTTACTAATTTCCCATTGAAAACTGGTAATTTATAAACAGTTGAACGTAACGAAGTGCAACACACCTGTAACCTATAAGCCTACTGTAATCTATAAACAGTTGAACGTAACGAAGTGCAACGAAGTGGAGTTCAACACACCTGGAACCTATAAACCTACTGTAATCTATAAACAGTTGAACGTAACGAAGTGCAACGAAGTGGAGTTCAACACACCTGTAACCTATAAACCTACTGTAATCTATAAACAGTTGAACGTAACGAAGTGCAACGAAGTGGAGTTCAACACACCTGTAACCTATGAACCTACTGTAATCTATAAACAGTTGAACGTAACGAAGTGCAACGAAGTGGAGTTCAACACACCTGTAACCTATAAACCTACTGTAATCTATAAACAGTTGAACGTAACGAAGTGCAACGAAGTGGAGTTCAACACACCTGTAACCTATAAACCTACTGTAATCTATAAACAGTTGAACGTAACGAAGTGCAACGAAGTGGAGTTCAACACACCTGTAACCTATAAACCTACTGTAATCTATAAACAGTTGAACGTAACGAAGTGCAACGAAGTGGAGTTCAACACACCTGAAACCTATAAACCTACTGTAATCTATAAACAGTTGAACGTAACGAAGTGCAACGAAGTGGAGTTCAACACACCTGTAACCTATAAACCTACTGTAATCTATAAACAGTTGAACGTAACGAAGTGCAACGAAGTGGAGTTCAACACTCCTGTAACCTATAAACCCCCTATAATCTTTATTTCTCTATTTCATTAGAATAAGACTAAAAAGTAGAAAATAAAATACTTTATAAAAAAAACTTTTTAAAAAAACTACGTTTTTCGCGTAGACTAAAAAGTAGAAAATAACTTTTATTCTTGGTTGTAAAGAATTTGGTTTTAAATTTTCAGATTATATTTAATAAATGTTTATATCCTAGTCAATATTGTTCACAAAGTTTCGAATAAGTGCACTTTGATCTTATCGTATAACTCAACAACTTAAAAACGTGGGCGCATTAATTTAAGTTTATCATAAAGTATTGATTTCACATAAACTTATTTCTCCTTTTATAATGCGCCCACATACATACTCAGGAATTTTTTGAATATTTTAGGGATGTATGGGATAAACATGATATTTGGGATAGTTTCCACGCCTTGCAACCAGGTGACAAAATAAAACTCGCTTAAATAAAATGAGGAAGCTAAGCCTACACAAAGGTCGCCAAATATTTGAGCTGGCCTTGAAGCTTCAGAAATCGTCACTACGCGACTGCCATGATACTGTTGTAAATGATCTTGTTGATATAATCTCGAAAATATCCATTTAAGATAAGCTTGTTGAAAAGGAACATGATAATAATTCCATCAGCAGGAGAGTACCCAAACACGAATTCTATTTTTAATTCTAGTTACACTTCTTCCCATCAGTAATTAAAGCTATCCAGCATATATTTTTAAACTTGAATATTTTTATGAAAATTCCAATCTTCTTGCAAACAGTTTTTTCTCCGACCACAAACCTCACATTTTTTTTATTTCAAACATTTAAAAGCATCCATAATTTTATTTACTCAACAGAAATACCAGCAATTAAGGATAAAAATTCTTGGTGATTGCTACTATTGCATAAGCGGTGCACCCAGTGAACGAGACGACCATGCAGTAAGTAATAAAAATACAAAAATACAAAATGATTATCGAATAGCGAATGAATTTTAATTGTTACAATTTAATTTGCTTTTTTTCTGCTTCTCATTTCAATTTACGACAAACAGCAACTTTGCGTGTTTATGGGACTCTCAATGGTGAAGGCAATTAAGTAAGTTCAATCGTCTACCGTCAGCAATTTTCATGGCTTCTTATTGAGTTTTTTCTCTATGCTTATCATAAGCAATAAATAGCCATTTCCATGTCTGACATAAATCATATTTTCAATTCTCGTATTGTACTTAATCTCCCAATGTTCTATTATCGTTCTGTCTAGATATGTTCAGCAGAAGACAAATTCACCGGTCGACATGAGAGTTGGTATTCACACGGGTGCAATTTTAGCTGGCATTCTCGGACAGCGACAATGGCAATATGACGTCTACTCAAAAGATGTTGAATTGGCCAATAAAATGGAGTCGAGTGGAAAGGCTGGGTAAGTACAATATTTTTTTTTTGTTCTCAGTTCATTTCATTTAACATCATAGCCTGATTGAGTATGATTGTGAATTCTTTGATGTTATCTTTTATTTTATACATTATCTGCCTACTACATCTGATGTTGTACACAACATATCATCCTACTTTCATTCACTCGTTCGGGGGCTTAACATAGTCGAGTGCACATCTCTGAAAAGACCTTGAGCTTCCTAAAAGGCGAATTTGAAGTTGAACCTGCATTCGGGGAGAAGAGAGAAGAAGCATTGAGAATTGCTGGGCTTAAAACATACTTTATCACGAAAGTACTCAAGCCGGTAGGTACTTATTTACGTATACTCGTATGAATATCTATTTTGTTACAAATAAAACAAATACATTTCTCGTATATTAACATGACTTATGAGAACTAGAGCGAGTATGGCATTCAGAATGGCAAATGTGGATTATTGGAGTAATGACTTTTTTCAAATTATTTGTTTATGATTTTTGATTATTTAAGTTTTGCTGAACACACTGTTGAGGCAGAAATATAACTGAACACACTCTTGAAGTAGCAATTTTCTTCAAAAAACTTTTGTATTGAAATGTTTTTAAACACACTCTTGATGCAAAAACATTATTGAACACACTTTTGACGCAAATATTTATTTACTCAAGCACCAACTACTAGCCATTTCCATACTTCTTAAGCATCAACCTATCTATTATTAGCTCATAATACAACCTATATATTCAATTTGCATATCTTAATCGAAATACTTGTGGGAACCATGACAACGAATTTCTCAGCATTATTCACATCTCAATAAATTCAATAAACACTTTAGCATAACAAACAAATAAGCTAAATTATGTTAATTCCATTCGTGTATACATGCAAAGTTGCTAACGTTTTAAGAACATGCGTAAATATTGAAATGCTGGCAAACAACATAAACCTTTTGTAAGAGAGTTTACATATAAATATAGAGAGCATACAAAAAAAAGTGAAAAAGGCTTCGTGCTTATGCCATTACATATTATGTTGGTTGAATTGTACTTATTCTCCAATGAAGAAGTTTGCATTCTTTTGTATCTGGTATATTAGATTGAATATATCAACTTTTCGATGGAATTTCGAAGCAGATTTTTTCTGAACGCACCTTTTGAGGAAAATTACTTTTCTGAACTCACTTTTTGATGCCGATAAATTTTCTGAACGCACTTTTTAAGCAGATTTTTTATTGAACGCACTTTTGAAGCAGAATATTAAGAAGTGAGTTCTCATCATATTCAATAATCACAATAAAATCCATTTCTTTTAGTAGAACCCATAATTCTGTCTGCCCTAAAGTGCATATTTCCAAATGATGTGATGAGTGATTGCAATAAATTACTAGACGGCACAAAAATAGGCTCGATAATTCAATTTTCTATTTATTTGTTTGATTCTTTAGGATGTTCCTTTCCGTTTCAATTATTAGCTAATTCAAAATTCTTATTTCTTGTATGTTGATTTACTTAAAAACGAAAAAAAAAACGAACTTTATCGTTTCCCTGCTCGCTAGTTTGCTTTCGGAACATAAAAAAGCTGTTTGTGTTGCAAAATAAAAAAGTTTTCTTCTTTCGACTCGAACCCTTTACTTCTTCTCAAGCCTTTTTCGTCAATCAATATAACGAGTATTATAAATGTTTATATTACGTGGTGTTGGGGCGAGAACAGAGAGAGGAAATTAAAGATAATTTACAGTTGAAAGACGTTTTCTTGCCGTTGCTTTGATACTTTATTGTTAATTAAGCAACGAATTCAAACGTTTTTGCGCTTTTTTTTTTAAATTTAATTTTCAATTGTTTACTTTATTAAGAGGAGATAGAGATGTCTTTTGGAGTCTGTGTCTCGTGATTTGTCGGTTGTTGTTTGAAATAAATTGAGACATGAGATAGAATCAAGTATAGCACATCCAAATCAAAAAATTATATATTGTCGATACCTAGTAGCTACTACAAACCTTAATTCTTTTTTTCCTTGAATTTAACATGTCAATTCTACAATTCACGCACAATTTAATCCAATCACTTGATCTACTAAGATTCAACATTTACAACCAAATCTTTCCAATCGATTAAATCCTTAAAAAGCGTCTCGATCATCAACAATCACTTCACATTTTTCTTGTCACACTTAAAGGTATTCTTGTGAAGCAGAAAATAAGAAAATTTTAAATTTTTTTAATGTAAAAGCTTTCAACTCATTTCATCAAGATCCAATTTTTTTTTTGTAAAATAAATAATGCGTAGGTTGAGATTGTATAGGCTTTGTCTTCATATCTACCTCGAAGAAACAACCTACAATAATCTCAGAGCTGCATGATTGATTCAAACAAGACTTTTTTTTTGTTCTTCTTATTTTTTGCTACTTTTCATTTTGTCGGAATGAATTTAATGAATTTTATATTTCGTGTTTAAAAATGGCAAGCAAAGGGGATGGTTTGTAGATGACGTCATAGTTACGAATTCCTAGTTAATAGTCCCTAGTCCATAGTATCTGGTGCATAGCTCTTAGTACCTAGTCTATAGTTTTTGGTGAACAGTTCTTAGTCGATATTCGCTAGTCAATAGTTCCTAGTCAATAGTCCTTAGTCAATAGTCCCTAGTAGAAAGTCTTAATCTCTAGTCATTTACTCCAAGTTCAGTGTCTATCTCTAATTTTACCCAAACTCTAGACACCCCTCCTTATCAACTTTAAGAGTAAGACACCATTTATGATCAAACTTGTAAAAATTACATAGTAAAGTCTTGAGTCTAAATCCCTGATTCAATATTTCAACATCATTGAGTATACAACAACAAAATCTTTTTACACCTGTGATTCTCATCCTTCCCTCTTGTCAGTGTAAAGTTTCGTAATATTTTTCAATCAACAAAGTAAATAAAGCTCAATTAAAATGTTTTCATGATGTGGATTTAAATCCTTGAAAACTAATCTGAAGTTTCATTAAGAGGAATCAAATAAAGCACATGAATGTATCATGAGGGCTTTATAGACAGAATCAAATTGAAACTATTCAGGTATTAAATCCTTAACATATATGCTCTTATATGTTTATTGATGAAAAATAGTTCCATAGATTAATGGTAGATATTAAAAGCTTTATATGTTTATGTCTCTGATGCGAGCAGCTTGGAAATTTGTTCAACATGTAAACTGTTGTGCTTGCATGTGACTCTTAAACTACAAACGACATACGAGGGGATAATTTCAAGCAATTGCTAGTTGTTGTCATTAAAAATTGACGCAAGCTGCTTCTTATCCCTTTTGAGGATGAGTAAAGCTTCTCGTAAAAGAGATAAAGGTTGAATTTTTGTATTTACGTGAAGGAATTTTTTCCGGATGCTGTTCAGTCGGGGAAATTCTTATCTATATCATTTCATCCTTAAAATTGAAGAATTTGAGATTAAAATTCTTAAGTTCGTGAGAGAATTTGTATAAAAATAACTTTGATAAATAAATAACCTTGAGATTGTCACGGATACAGCCACAAGAATATCATATTAAACTTCAGTTTGAGATGAACAATTTGGGATTATTTATCAAGGCACAGCTTCAATGTCATAATACCGTTTATTGTAAAATATTTTAACCAGAAAACTCTTCTAATTGTAATCAGCAACCTCAAATTTAATGAAATATTAAGTTTTTTGTAGAAACTTATTTTAATTATAATGGTTCCTGAATTAGACAATATTCATTTTTTTACCAAAGAATCTCAGGTGTCAACCTTCATTTTAATCGTCAATATGAATTTTAATTATAATTTCCAGATGATAAACATTTTACACCTTCAAGCAATTCACAACCACGTATGATGAAATTTCAAACCTGAGTAAATTCCAAATCAAAACTCAATTTTCCATTAATTTCAATGCTTCAACACATTTTGAATATTTACAAGTCATTCCACATTCTTGAATTTCAATGAATGAATATTTTATTTTTGAATATATTCTCAGAAAATTCAATTCATTTTTAAGAATTTGATGAAATTTAATAAGCTTTAAATAATAACTGAAAACGCTTTTATTTATATCCTTAATGTCTAACCTACATGAAGTGTTTGACATTTTCTGCCGATCCATGTCAAAATCATAAAACACATATTTATTAGGAAATTTATTGCTAACGCAGTGTGTAGAAGTGATCGTTTTTTTCAGGGGGTTGTGCTTAAATGATGTCATTTGATAAAATGAATTCTCGGACTCTACTCCACCTCCATGTATCTTAGCATTCAATAGTATTTTTTATATCAGTCGATGTGACCCCCTTTAAATCATTGATGAACATTCCCCCCAAAGCCATTCGTGACCTGAAAACTTATCACAACAAAATCATAGACTACGGCTCACTGAGAAGTAAAAAAAGGGCATCAATGATAATGGCACTTTCAAAGTTATTTCTAAATAAAGTTTTTAAAGAGCTTTTTTACAAGCTTTCGAGCGATTCCATTAAAATTGCATTATAAAAAAATTATTCTCGGAGCATTTTTTTTATGGACGATTTTTATGCTTTGTTTTATGACATTTGGATAAAGTACTGAAATGATTTCACACAAAAAAAATTATTAAGCACTGCTCGAAACCATTTAGTTGTTTTACAGCTACCCGCTAGTTTTTGCTGTGTTTGTAGAGCTTTAAAAGTTTCATGCTGTTGAGCTGCCCAATGTTTGTGATGTAAACTGATAATTTTAGTGAGGATGAATTTCATTTATTTGTGGCAATTGAGCAAGCACAACGAACCTTGACATTATAAAGACTCTTTTTTCTTGCCAACAAATGAAAGGATAAAGCTTAACTGAATGTGGCATATTTTCTCGTACTCAGATGATCTATTTATTCTACCCAGTAAAGTCCTTGACACAATTTCAGATCTGCTTCAGCACTGAAAAAAACATACGGGCATGTTCAAGAATCTGTATGAATTATTTGGATTACCGGGCAAGTAGTTTTAAATAGGATAAGTTTTTGGAGTTGTTATGAATTAAGTCATAATAAGACTTATAAGAGTCGTTTACTCATGACGTGCATGAACTTATCAAATTCTAAGACCTCAATCAGGCTTGTAAAGATCGAAAAAAACTGCCATAATTTATAGACGTAATAACTGTAATGATTCCTAAGTACCCCCAACCCCCATGGTCCATTCATCTCGGACCACAAAAAATCCATCAACATAATTTTCTGCCTCAATTTTAATAAACATTCCATTTAATTTAAATAAAATTTAATGCTCGACCAGATCAAACAAAAAGCCCTTAAAGTTCCCATCTTTATCAGATTTTTTACTACCAAACTGATTACTCGACAGCACCAAAAGCAATAAAAATTTTCGAATATTATCCCTCGTAAAATTAAGTGTTTAAATTTTTTTCTTCTTATTTATCCACAATCTCAAGTAAAGTGCCAGCGGAGATGATTTATTGTTGCAGTAAACAAGACAATAAGCAGCAACAGTTCTTATTATTCTCAATAAACATATAAAAAAATTTTCTTTTCTCTAAAAAAAAGCTCAAATTTCTTTCATTTATTGTTTGTGGAGGGAACACATATTGAATTTGTATCTTGAATTAACAACATAAAAGAGGATGTATGTGTAATAAAAAGTAGGAAGAAAACTCATTTGTAGGAGAAGATGAAGGAAGTTAAAAGGAAAAGTTCATTTTAATTCATTTTATGGATTAATATAGCATATTTTTGAAGCAGAATGAGGATTCAGTTTATCTTGTGTAGCAGTTTTGGTTCGAAAACTCCTTGATTTGTCTGAGATTGATAGCTATGGAATGAAATTTCATTAAATGAGTCGATTATTTGTGTTACAGGCACTGTGTAAGAACGAAATTGTCTTATAGAATTGATTAACTTTTCGGGATCTTTATGAATGATAAAAATGGGGAGGGAGGGTCAATTTTAGTGCAGTTAGGCTTGGAAATCTACTTAAAATAGGATTGTACACAACTAGTCTGTTCACTAGGTTTTAAACTAGGTTGTTCATTAGGTTTGATACTAGGTTGTTTACTAAGTTGTAAAATAGGTTGTAATCGTGTTCATAAACAAACTAGATTGTACATAGTTTATATTTTAGGATAGATACAAGGATATATCCTATTTTGTAAACTAGGTTGGATACTAAGTTGTATACTGAATATCATACTAGGTTTGTTAAGTTGATTCATTTTATGTTTGCTGGATCACTATAGTTATGTTTTTGGTGATTCTAAAGGTTCCCAAAATTAAGCTTTATATGAAATAGATTTTCGTCACTCAACCATCACCTTCTAGTTCTAAAAACAGAATCAATCTTTTATGCGCCTATAAATGTTCTTCCAATTTCTTTTAATAACTCTTTCTTATCTCCATACACAGCATCTCTTAAGGATACAGAGTGAAAAAAACATAAACAGAGAATAAAGCCTTTCCTTCTTAGATTCTATTTCTCATGTACATTATCACAAGGAAAATCTCTTTAGACGTTTATGAGTGAAGCAATTAGACGAAGAAAAAAATAATACATTAAACGTTTAATGATTCGTTCTTCCTCATTTTTTCTATGGCGCAATATACAACAACTCTATTGGATAAAAAATTGAATGGAATGGGGACACTCATTGTTCAACTTGCCTCCTTTATTTCCACGTTTGCCACAACAAAAGTTCCATTTACAATTAAATTATGCTTAGTGTTTGGTTAATTAATGTCGATATCAATTTCTTCGTTCTCATTTGAATATCACTTCGAGTAGTTTGTTGCAAATGAACACATAAGAAATGGTGTGAACAATATTGAGCCTAAAGATATTGTCATTGAGCCTGATGGTCCGTCAATTGTATCGAAAGAAGACGACGAATCCAAGGTAATTTAATTAATTACCTTCAATTAGTTGATTTATCTAAATCTTTAATCCCAAAAACAACACAGTGCACATCTCCAGCAGAATATAACGATGAAGAGGCGAAGATTGCCACAAATGTCAAGGAGGAAGAAGCAATGGAAATTTATAAAGTTCGTCTACGAAAAGAACTCGTCTCACGTGATGGTCATGGTGAAATTGACAAGGACACAACCGTCTTCTTAACATTTAAGGATAAAAATTTAGAAAAGGCCTACAGCGAATATCGCGAACCATACTCATCTGTCCCATTGATGGCATCACTTTTAGTGCAACTTATCGGTATTCTTTACTCAATTTTTGTATTACCAAGGTGAGTTATTTTTACGGCTGCGCTGATAAAAGAAAGAAGTATTTAGCAATGTGGCTATATGATTGATTGAAGATTGAAAAGAATTTGAAATTTAATTCAGGATATGAGATGAACTGAGGTTTTTGGAAATATTTGATAAATTTCTTCTAACGGTCGATAACATTTTGAAATTCAACAGTCATTTATATAAATTTTTTAACTGACATTTCGAATTTGAATTTTTTAACTGTCATTCTGAATTTGAATTCTTAGCGGTCTTTTAGATTTTAAATTACAAATTAAACGGTTCGTCAATAGATTCATCTGTAAATAGCTATTAATTCCTAACCAGCCATATAATCTGCTATCAACATCTCATTTCCTCCCATAAAAATATGCTGCAAAACTTTTTACATTTCATCCTCAATCGATTACTGCTTTACGTCCCGTTAAAATCTATATACAGCCACAATGTTGCTTCTTCCTATTTCCTTCCTTATTTTGATATTTTTTTTCTCTCATTAATATGTATCTCAAACTGCCACAGGACATGGATACATTTTGTGATAGTGTTGCCACCATCACTTGTGATTGCACTCATCGTGTTCATATCAATAGCGGAAAGTTTTCCTGACGTGAGTAGAATAATAATTAATTAAATTGAAAAATTTATTCTGTCACATGCTTTACTAACATGATAAAGTAAATATTTTATGGCAGATCTCTGAGAATTGGAAAATGAAGACATTTATGTTTATCAGTTTACAGGTAATAGAATCGAATGATTTTTTTCCAGATAAATTAGCATAAAGATCTTCATTTTTTTAAATCAAATGATTCGTAGCCATTTCATATGAATATTTTTGGCAAAAGCCTAACAGATAATTTAATATCGAATGATAATGGAATCAAATCAATCAATTTCCTCGTTCTTTTATTGAACCAATATTAAATTGAATCTTCATCGACTTTATCTCCGAGCTTGATGATGAGAATAAGGCACAGAATAATCTGCATGTTTCATATTCTAGCTAAATTAAAGAATTTATTTATTGAAAAATATAACAAAAAGACATAATGAATTCAATCAAGAAGGTAGCAAAAGGTTTTTTCATAAAGCCACAAACTTCATAACGAGATTCTTCGTTTCTTCATCTACGCCTCATTTCTAGATCAAATCTCTGAGGTAATTTTCGAAATATTCTGAATTGAATTTTGAATATTGACAAGATTGGGAATGGAAATAGCGTGAGATTGTGAAGTCATCCAAATTCTCTAATGCTTTGACTTTCATTTCTCAGAATTAAACTGATAATTTACGGTGAACCTAAATTTTCTCATTGAATATCTAATGAAATTGAGATTAATTCTGGGAATATAGTTGGGGGTTAACCAATAAACGTGGTTTAGTTTCTGCTTGAATGAGATCTGAGAAATTCTCTCTCAATAGTATTAATGAAGATATTGGAAACAGTGTCAATGTCAGAAAATTCTGAGAAATTGAAGAAAGATTCCAAAATTTTAATTATCCCAAGTTCTTGCTATTTCTATTAAATTAGATACTCTTTAATTCTGATTTTCAAGTGAATTCGAACAAATTAGGCAAAAATTATTATCATTCTCAGTATTAGGCAGTGTTGAACTAGTTTAAAGTCGAGTTCTTTAGATTCGAACCTACTCTTGTGTAATGTCTTACACAGAATAAAATCTATATTCTTAATAAGATTCAGTTTTATATTGCTAATGTGTCATCAAACCACTCAGACTTTAAAGTGGTTCTACTTATATTCTAGCTTTGCATTTGAAAGGGTTTTTGGGCTTTCAGTGTGCCAACCGTAGAAACAGATGATTTTTTTTGGACCCTAAAATGTACTTAATCGATTTTTATTCTAAGTTCTCAGCCTAACCCAGATAGCACTCAAAACGATCTCCAGATCTACATTATGTATGATTATATGATGAATAGATCTTATACATTTATCAACAACTTTATCAATCCTTGAAAAAGTGTTTGTTTGATCCCGTTTGATCAAATTTTAATACATTTTTAAAGCTCAACATTTTAAATCTAACATCAAAATGATAAAGCATATACACATAAAGTTCATGCAAATAAGCTTTCTTAAAAAAAATCAAAAATTCATTATCTTAAAAGCGCTCACGTTTACGATATATTCATAAAATTTATCCTTCCTCGCAGCACATTACACAAATTTTATTTCATTACTGCTAACCTGACTTTTCATAAAGTATAAAATTCAAAGAGAAAAGCGAAATGCATTGAAAATCGAATTTATGACTTTACATTCATGATAATAAAAAAATAATGCAGCATAATAAATATTATGAGGAATTTTATGCAACTGCTAGCGTTCATATTATCATCAAAAAGTTTGCATTGAAGCTTTTCGCTCTTTTTAAGGTGGAATGAAAAAAAAAGTTACTTCCACTTGACCTACTTCAAGCTCTGAATTGAATAAACCCCTTATCTATTATCTTTCAACAAACTTCCACAAGATGTTTACACTAGTGATTTTAAATTCGCTTACAAAACATCTTCCTTATTTACAGATTGTTCCTTCAGTTGCGACAATTGCTAGTAAAAAATTCAACGATTGTGTGTGGCTTCGTCGGATTTGTGCAATATTCGTCATTGTGTTGATCGGATTCTCAAATGCTGCAGATATGGTAAGATATAAATTCAATTAAGGTCTTTCATATCCCATGAGCTTTATTATTTAGTGATATTAGGTTACAATACCCATGATAATCGTATAACAATATATCTTTATCCGTATTCTAGCTTGCATCGTCTACGACAACAACGGAAGCAATGAGTGAATTAAATTTAATTTCAAGTAACAACCTTTCTTCGTCACTTACGAATACAAGTCGATATACGAATATAAATGTGAATAGAAATGATACAAATGGCAATCATACATCCAACAGCCACGCGATAGAATTTAATTCTTTTAAATCGCCATACGATATCTGTATTTTACCATCATACTTCAATCATTTTACTATATTAATTCTCATTGCAACGACTATAGTTACACAGCTATCGCATATAACAAAAATTTTATTGATGGTCGCCATAACAGGTAAATTATTAATGATTGAATAAGAATTATTTAGTTCCATTAGGGGCTTTATTAATTATTTTAATTGATTATAAATACCAATTACCAACATTTCCATGCCCTTTTTGATCAACACTCGGTTTCCATTTTAAATTATAATGTTTGAGAGAGAGAAACAAATTCCATAAAATACAATACAATATGAGAACATTAAACATTATCATTTTGTGTTCCGTTTGCCTACGCTTTTGTGGCAGGTGAGGGGTGGGATGGCTTTTTAAGGAAAAATGTGAAAATTGTAACAAAGCATTTTAATGTTAAAAAATTAGTTCCTTGAATTTGAGAGTCTTTTGTTTGAAGGAGTTGGAACTGAGACTTTAGAGAGATTGAGTCAACAGTACTCCTGTTAAGTCACAAAGTAACAAATATAATATATATTTGATGGGAATTAGATTCGAACTTTTCATCAAAAGTTCTTCCTATCCTGTGGTTTTTCCCTTGCTACCATACCCAATCTATATGCTTTAATCCATTTGATACTGTTGCAGCAGTTAAGAACTATAACCTATGATAAGTTCAGACCGAGATCTTTGCTCCCACCAAGTTGAAATTTTCGACATTTATCAAAAATGTGTCCCCCCTGTCTTACCAATTTCCATCTCCAATTATTTTTTGTGTCCCCATCCTCTCGTTCTCTTGCTCGGAAACAATATTTTTTGAAACAATACAAGCAATTAGTGAAAAAAAACATAATATAAATATTTTATAAAATGACTTTAATGTCTCACTTATTTGGTAACATAAAAGCTTTGATACACCTGAGAGAATCTTTAGAAAATTGTCGAGTAATTTGAGATGAAATTTTTCCTACACTATCAATTGTTTAGATATCAAGTGGATTTTCTGAGGTGACGAGACATCCTGAAATGAATATTATGACTTTAGGTGATAGAGATGACTAATTTTGAGATAAATTGAAATTTAATTTGAATTGGAAATTTGACTATTGAGGAAGACTTTTAATATTTGTTCAAAAGTACAGGATATAGTGTTTTGTGGATATCAAAGCTATGTCCAGAGGGTATCAAAATGAGCTATGATTGCTTCAAATCTTCTCTATTTTCAGTTACATATAAACAGTTTAAAGCCAACGCCTTCAATTTTTATGAACTAAAATCCAGAAATAATTCCTAAGCATTAAACAAACTCCACGCCCAGAAAAAATAAATATTAAATATCATATCACTTCATAAAATTACCAGTGGAAGCTTCAATTTAATTTTCATCAGATTATTTTCAGCATTTAAACAAACACGTTCCAATTGTCTCTCCATTCCCATCAAAATATGATATTTCTATTATTTGTTCTGTTTACAATGGCAATTAATGAATTAATTAAATAATTAATCTTATTATATTTTTTCCCCATGCCTATTTAAACAGCTCTTTATTGCGCAATTAATGTGCTCTTGCTTGAGGACGCATTTAAATATGAAATCTATGATTCATCAAATTCGTAAGTATCACAGAATGTGTCGCTACATAATCCGCTCATATAAGCGATTATTAAAATGATTATGATTAAGATGAAAATATATTAATGATCAGCTGTTAACGTGATTATCTCTTTTATCATCCATTACAGAGGCGTTCCATTACAGTTCATCTTGTCATCGATGTTAATTGCGGTAACAGTTGCTCTATCAATCCTAGCGAGACATGTAAGTTCATACTGTGAAGAGTTAAAGCAGATAAAAAATTATTTAATGTTTTTTTCTTCTTCTTCCATCTCCTTACATCTATATCGGTTCACGTAATTTTCTCATCTTGATATCTCTTGGTATTAAATTCCCATATTCCATCACATTGTTCATGAAAATATAAAACACACAACAAAAGATGGATAAAGTGGATCGTGTCATATTCAAGTGGAAAAATGAGGTTAGTGACCAAAAAGAAAAGGCAAGTGATATGCGACGACGAAATGAAGCTCTTGTTTACAATATTCTACCGAAACATGTGGCTGAGCATTTCATGGGAAATAGAAAACGCTCTCATGATGAGCTTTATTCACAAAGTTATTCTGAAGTTGGTGTTCTGTTTGCATCAATGCCAAATTTTACTGACTTTTATTCCGAAGAGACAGTTAACAATCAAGGTCTTGAATGCTTGAGGTAATTTTAAAAATAATGGAACATTTTCTGTCAGATAAAGTCATTTTGTATCTATTTCCAGATTCCTCAACGAAGTTATTTCCGATTTCGATGCTCTTCTTGAACTTCCTCCATTCCAAAACATTATCAAAATCAAAACAATCGGCTCAACATACATGGCTGCTTCCGGACTAAATCCATCCCAAATCTGTAAATCTGACGATCTAATAACAAAATGGGCAAATTTAGCATTGCTGGTTGATTTTGCTCTGGAACTAAAGAAAGCATTACAAGGAATCAACGAACAATCATTCAATCATTTTGTATTGAAAATGGGCATCAATCATGGCCCTATTACAGCCGGAGTCATCGGTGCTAGGAAACCTCACTATGGTATGCCATAAATTTGACTTATTATCGTGATTTGTTACGAAACATTCTTGTTTCTTATTTTTAACATCGTTAAAATACACTCGGTGTGTTTTTTGATGATAAACGAGCGATAAACTGATCAGTATGAATGGCTGATTAAGCATTTGACTTGTTGACGTTTGAATTGGTTTTTCATTTAATTTATTCTCAAGCAGAAAGTTAAAATTCAATATGGAAATGGAAATACATCTCAAATATTCATTTTTTGCCATTTTATTAAACATTTATCGCCAATTTATCACTTGATTAATTGCTGTTTTAGCTTAATAATTGCAAAAAACTTTTTGAAGCGATAAAAATTTTGCAAAATAAAATGACGAAAAATTTGAATTTAAAAAATTCGTTAAATATTTAAAAAGCGCTTTGCAAACTTACTTAAATTATTTTACTAACGTTCCTTTCTTTTTCTTAAATTCCTCTTAATATTCTGCTGATTATACAAAATATACGAAATCTAGATATTTGGGGAAATACGGGTATGTACAAAACACATAACTTCTATCAGCCTAGTTCAAATAATGATTTTTCTTTTATTTTCTTTATTAATAATAAAATATATAGTAAATGTAGCGTCACGAATGGAGAGCACAGGAAAAGCCGGTGCAATTCAAGTCACTGAAGAAACGTGTCAGATTTTACAAAACTTTGGCTACATATTCGAGCAGCGTGGGCTTGTTGCTGTGAAAGGAAAAGGACAATTAATGACCTATTATCTTATCGGCAAGCTAGACAAGCCACCAGCATCACCGACAGTGAATCAAATTCATACAGAAGTCGATGAAAAAGAAAACTTAATAAATCAAAATTTAATTGCACCAGAATCACCAAATCCTCTCACACTATCGAGTGCCACTGCCAGTCCGAGTTCAGTGCGACTCAATCAAAATTATCAACCAAACGGTAACATTGATACGGAACCGGAGAATCTTGAATCACTCGAGAGTAATTGTGAGGAAAGTATAAACGATAATAAAAATTCCAATAATGCAAAGCACTCGGAAAAAGATCCACTTTTGAGTGATAACGTAAAGGCCGAAAGCACAGAGCTAAATCATTTCATTAGTGATGAGAAGAAAGCTTTGCTTGAAAATGTCACGTAGGAAATGCTTGAATAAGTTAAAAGTAAATACACTAAGTGAAAAAAAATGAGAATCATAAGCATATACATAATAACTAGTGAAGCTTCTTAGAGTGATTGTGACTTCTATTCCATGTCGTAGTTGGCTTCTTGCTATACTCCATTTCATGATGAATCACCTCTTTTTTTTTGTTGCTGTTGTTATTTCCATTGTTTTTGTTGCCATAAAAAAAAGTCTATTTACACATCCGCACCCCACCCACAAATATTTCATAAAATTTTTGAGCTTTCAAAATGTTTCTCAACAAAAAAAAAATCAAAAAGCTTTTTTCATTCTCTATCAAATTATAATATCTATTTACAAATATATAAAAACTTCTCCCTTCCAATATATTGTATATTTTTGCAGATGATTATTTAAGAAATGTTTACTAGAAGAATGAAACCTGACGTTCAAAATAAAGTATAAAGCTTTTAATGCGATACTACAATCAGGAATGACAAAGAACGATATCTAATTTGGGTAGTAAAATTATATATTATAGAAAAAAAGAGAGAAAAATGGAATTTATTTATTATGATGATATAAAAAACAAGAAGATACTCTATTTTGATGAAAGCTCAACATTTCTATATTAATTTAGTCACTTTTGGATTGCGTTTTATTTTGATGTCATTGACCTTGAATTTAATTATGGTTTTTCTTTATTTTCGTTCGCGAGGGTTTGGCTCTTTTGATGAGGAAATAAAACAATGAATGAGAGTCTTCATATTAATGTCAATATCCACCCTATAATTCATGCATTTTTAGTTTTATATAATAGAACAATATACACCAAAGAACCAAAGATATGTAGAGAATCTAAACCTTAAAATTAATTTCTAGGAAAGTATCGTCTATATAGGTAGGAAATTATAACCAAATCTGTGGTACGACTCTAGTTGGAATTACAAATTTTAATCAAATTTAATTAGGTGCAAAACTTTAAATCTCACGTGAATGTGATTAGGTTGTCCAATTATTACTGCAATGGAATTTCAAGAATGTGCAACTGATCAAAATGATCATAAGTTGTAAGAATTGATCAAAATGTAACACATCCTTTTGCAGACCACTTCCTCATAATGCCATAAATAGATTTAAACATTATTGCACCAGATAAAGTAAAGGTTGTGTTTAACTATTAAGTAAGAAATGTAGTATTAAAACCTAGAATGGAATTCAAGACGGTTAGAACAATTCACTTCAATTGTAGTACCCATCTGTAAGTTAGTGCCTATCCTGTTCAAACAACTTAGCAGTTTGACTCTCTTTCATTTGGTACAGACAACTTCAAGTATATCAAAAAATAGTCAAAATTCAATCAAAAATGCAAAGAGTCTTATCCTTCCCCACTTGTTATAACTAAATATCAATCATCACAATCCTAATAGCCACAAAACTAGTTCAAATTAATTTATTTAAATTAGCACAGTGACATCAATTTAAACCGTAGTCCATGTAATGTAATTTTTGATTTAATTTCATTCAACTCTTTCTAATTTTTCTAAAAAAATAGTAAAATGAAAAAACTTTTTAAAAGGAGAATTAAATGTGTTAATAAAGAGAAACAAATAAAAAAAATTAAAAGACGTAGTGAAATAGAATTTAAAAAAAAAGTTTAATAAATAAAATTAAAAATTGAGTAGAACTGACTAGATTAGAGAAAGTAAAGTAATCAATAATAGCTATAAACACTTAATCAATAAATTATAATGTTAAACACTTTATCATCAAAAAAAAAATTAATATTTACACGTAACGAACGGAAGCGCTTACAGAAATAAAAATGAATAAAATGTCTATTTCGATCATGACAGCTTATGGAATGTTGTTTTAAGTGGCATATAAAAATTAAATGGATGCTATACCTTTTTTTTTAATCAACTCTTATTTTACAACTTTGTTTTTGATGTCAAATTTTTGATATGATTTCCAACTTATTTTTTATCAAGGGGGACACAACGTGATGGGAAAATTTTTATTGGAGAAATTTTAGCAAACTTTTAAAAGTTTAAAACTTTCCATCAAAATTTTTTCATCATCATGTTGTTATCCCCTCTGCCCTTCATATTAATCCACAGCACAATGTACCGACAGAAAACAAATATGATTTTTAATAGAATGGATAACTGACAGTAAATGAGTTGACTCGCTCGTCCGAATTATTAGTGAAATGAAAATTAATGGAAAAGTTTATTTTTCTTTTGACACAAATTGAATTTGAAAAATTCGATTAAGTAATTCTTTTTGTACATGATGTGAAAGTTGCTTGGCTGTAACTGAATGGAATGTTTATGAATTTTATAAAATTGAATTTTTTTATCAGTCAAGACCACAGAATAGTTTATTTTGCTGTTATGGGGATATAAAAGTTTATTTTATCAGATTAGTTATTTAATAAGTTGATTATTGTGCTGTAACTCGTTGGGAATAATTATGATTTTTAGATAAGTATGGTTTTGGATGAGAAAGATTCATTAGAAGTTGAATCCACAGTACATCGTCCAACAAGCTAATGGCTGTACTTCAGCTTAACTTCATTCTTTATCATTTCTATCGAAAGAAGAATTTTAAATCCCCCATCCAACTTCATCTGACTGACATAATCAAGTACAGCATGTGTTAACCTCGTTAAATCAAAATAAATATTTCACATACATTGTTGAATATTCTCTAGCTTTAATATTTCTCTCAAGTTTGTTTAATGCTGTAAGAATGAATTTTTTAAGCTGTCATAATCGTTTTATTCTTTTATTCATCGCTTTCCACCTATATTATTAAAGTGAGGAAATAATGAGTAAATGAAAATAAATAATAATTTTGTGATATGAACATTTTTCAGGTCTTTTATGATTTTTTTTCATCATATATGAAGTAAATATTATTTATTATTGAAACGAGAGATTATATCTGAATTTATTTTCAAGAGATGAAAAAACTATATTTAACGAAAAAGTGGAAAAATTGTTCATTTATTCAATTGTTTGAATACTCTTTAATAAATAAGCATACATAAGTAGATAATGCTGATGAATTTTTAATTAAAGAAAAAAAAAGAAAAATTTAAGAGAAATAAAATAAAAGTGTGTTTCAAAAACTTAAAGGAGTTGTTTTATTTGATCCTGTTGTTTCATCCTTGTCACCCGTGATGATTCTTATGTGAATTTCATTTCAGATTCCTGTTTTGTTATAGGATTAAACAATCCTTACCCTGTTTTTTCGTTATAAGCTAGTAGCTTAGAAAAATAAAAAAGTGATTTTTTTGGCTCACTAGTAGTTTAGTAAAGAAATTGAACTTCAATGGAAATTTTGAACTTTTTAACTTAATTAAAGAAATTTTGCTATCTTCTCGATTTCATTTCATTGACAATGTCATAAGGTATTGACGCTGATACTTAGAAAGTTGAAAAAGATTAATTATACTTTATTATTGGAGATTAGTTGCCTAATATCCTTAGTTTTTGTTGGATATGATGAACACAATGTTTATTTATCAATAAGATTAATTAAAGTCACCTGACGGTTTACTAAAGAACAATGACAAGATGTTTATTGTTCGACGATCAGATACAATCTAAATATATTTGTTTGAAGGTTGCTAATAACTTTAAAAGGGGAGAGCAACTAGTTCTAATTGCAAATACAATTTGAATATTAACCAACAGTTGAGAAATTCTCAATAGTTTTTCACAATTTGAGTCATTTAATCATCAAAATTAATAAATTGTAGATTAAGCTGCTCAGATATCTTAAATTGAGTTCAATGTAGTTCCCACACAAAGCCATACCAACATCCCATGGAAAACTATAATCACACAAAAGGAAATGTGAATAAATAAATATTCATGAGAACTACATGATTTGTCTCTGTTCTTTGATAGATGCATTATATAAATAATTTTGAAGTCGAATTGTCATGAAACGACAGCACAGCACTGACGATAATGTTCTTGAAGTCTCGACTGAGTTACAATGGAAAATGACTGCATCATATTTGAATATAAACACGAAATGGGAGAAATAGAAGTGGAAAAATTACATTATGCGATTCTACATCATCAGTGCTGAAAATGAGATCGCATAGAGTGTTTTATTTCATACTTCTATTCAAATTTGCGGAGCTATCATTTACAAAACTTTGTGAGGACTATCAAAGCAAATTGAAACTTGAGTTTTATCCTTTACGTCATTGTCAGCGTTCAAATAAGACGATAATAGCATCAACAAATGTAAAAAATGTAAAATTCTGTGCTTCATATGCTCGAGCTCATAGAGGACTTGCATTTAATTTCAGTCCAAAAAGTCGAGAGGATAAAAACTATTTTGAAATTGAAGCAAATAAAAATGACACAAAAAAGGATGTAGACGACAAATCACTGGAAGTGGCACGTGATTTTGATAATTGTGAAGTGCTTGCATGTCCGGAGAATAGAAACTTTTCCTCTATCGTAAATGACACTCGATTTGATTACTATACGATGTATGCTTATCCTCCTCGTAAGTGATTTTTTATTTGTTATGTTTTTTATTAGGGATAATGTTTATGGATGTTCAGATTTTCTATGGGATTGGCTTGTTTAGCTAGGGATTTATGTCATTTTGGCTTCTGCAGCTGAAATTTATCAGTGCACTTAAAAATTTTGTATGATCCAAAAAAATCTCAAAAATTCGAGCACACGTCCCAAAAAAACAATAAAAACCAGAACAAAAGAATTCCAACAATAACAGCAGCTATAAACCATAGCAGCAATTAACAATCTGTAGCTCAATAACAATTCCATCTCTTTATATCTCATTAGCAATTGAAAATGCCACATGTATACCATCACTTGGTTTGTTCCTCCTATACAAAGAACGAAAGAATTATTCAGCAGCATACAGCACATGTAAATCTGTAAAAGGTCAACTCGCTCACATTGCATCAGAGAGACGAACAAACGAGATATCAAAGCTTCTTTTAAATTCAGACAAATTATCATCAACATCAAAGGAAATGCTCGCCTTTGTAGGATTAAATGAGACGACCCGAGGCAAATTTATAACATCAAACTCAGAGCCTCTTGAATGTTTTGATTATCGTGCTTTTGTGCCTGGACATCCGCCTGAAATTCGTAAACCTTCATGTGTTGCATTAACCGATAAAGCTTCTTGGAAAGTGATTTCATGCATTAAAAAGGTCATGTTTGTGTGTGAGATTTTTGCAAATGGTCCAAATCCATTGGTCAATAATATCCACCAGAAATGCTCAACAAAGCATCCAAATAATCGCTATTCAGTTAAACAAATAAAAAAATCAGATTTCGAACCATGAAATTCAATTTTATTTAATAAATTAATATTTTCAATAAAACAGAAGCGCAAAAATTTTCCGAGTGCGTATAACTTTAATGTATAATTATTGGCTAAAATTCCATAATTGAATTCATTATTCATGTAAGCGTATAAATCCGTATTGCAATAATGAAAAAATCTTTCTCATAATTTTTTTTTAATTACCCGATGAAAATTCGAAGAAAAAAAAGGAAACAACAAAAACAATTGACATTTATTTATTTAATTAAATCACTTGCTGGCCAATGTACCATCAATAGCTGCGGTAACATCATTGAAAATTTCATCAATATAGCGTTCAGCATTAACTCTCTTAAGCTTGGCGGGATATTGAACGAGAATCTTTTCGGTATTTTCTCTAAATGTCTTAATGCGTGTCTTTAATGTCTCTGCGTTGTCATCAGCACGTACTTCCGTTGAGGCAGCAGCACGAGCTTGAATACGAGCTACAAGTGTTTCATCAGTACATTCAAAGTAGAGAATAAGATCAACTGGTGCAATTGCAGCCTCAAATTCACGTCCTTGTGCTTCCTCGCGTGGATATCTGATTTATGATTAATACATGAAATTATGACATCCATAACAAGTATAATCTCTTACTCACCCGTCAATAAGAAATCCTGTTGGTTTATCAATCTTCTTAATGGCAGCAGCGAGCAACTCAAGAACAACTTGATTACTTACTAATCCACCTGCTTTCATGACGGCTTGAAGTTCCTGTCCTTTGGCCGAACCCGATGCTACTTCAGCTCTTAATAAATCACCAGTTGAGAGATGATTAAAATGGTATTTGGCTTGAGTGAAGAGAATATCCAATAATTTAACACATTCGTACTAAAAATAAATCACTCGATATAACTTACCAACAATCTTATCGCATTGAGTTCCTTTGCCTTTTTATTTCAACCATAAAGAAATGAAATTCGGAATTAGTAAGGAATAGAGTTATTAATAAGATATGATAACGCATTGTGTAGGCGTGAATTTTATCTGAGAGGTTGATATGTACGTGTCTGAGGCTTTCTGCATCAAATTAAAGCTTAACATTATTGCCCATTAAAGATCAAGAAAAACTAGACAGACAACCATCTACCCCATACTGTTTAAACTCAATCTAAAGCCAGCAAAAAGACTATTTCAGTTAACTCAATTGAAATATACAAAGTTGCACAATTGCTCCTCAGAGATACTTAACAAAACAATAAATATCCAGCAACAGTAAACTCAACAGACTGAGAGAAAGAAGCAAGAAAAAAAAATTATTCCCCATGACTTAAAGATTAACAGTGACTTGACTTCATTCTCATAGTATTTGACGTCAAATATTAGTCACACTCACCGCATCCAGGACCACCTAATACCCAAATGATTGGTACTTTTGAGTCATTGACCTGTAAAAGAATGAGAAAGAAGAAGCAAAAAATGATTTATTAATGCTGTCGTTCCATATGCTACAAAATGATCAATATACACAATATTGTTATGAGTACAAGAAAAAAGAGGCAAAGTGAAAAAAAGCTCATCACGTATTCAGTTACTTGCAATAGATATATGAAGGTATGTATGTATGGATGATGGTGAAGTTAAATGAATGAGTTAGAACTATTCATCATTCGGTCGTATTTTTATTATTTATTTGTTTCATATCCTTCATGCAATATTATCGATTTTTGTTATTATTATTTTATTCTTTTTCTATCACCAACTTACAGATGTCTGTCGTGATGATGTTTGTGCCTTTTGTTTTTTCTCATGCTCATTAGCCATCTGATGACACATGAATAACTTTTATTTTATGTATTTTTTTTTTATTTGAATTATGAAAATAGAACAGAAAAATGAAAACAGACAGAAAAGATTGTAGTCAAATAAAAGAAATAAAGGTTTAGTTCCTAATTTTGGACAGACATAAATTACGATAATCATTGTGGAAAGTTGTAATTTATTAGGGACAAAAAAAAATAACCAAATTGTTTATGGATTTTTTCTCATAATTAGCATGAACGTGTTAATGGGATATTATACTGATTAATTGGGTGCATACTGCGAGATATATTTATGAATATATAGAAAGTTATAAGTTATTGATTTGGAATAAAATGATTGTTGTTAGATTCTCTTCAATTGAATGCATTAACTTGAAGTAATTTATATGACATACAGCATCTTAATTGTAGAGCTCAAAAGTTATCAACCAGAAGTTTAGATCTTTGAATTTATAACAAGTCAAGAGAATATTGAATCAAAAAAAAATTTCTTTCCCCAAAAATCGACAGTAAAAGTTTGGATCTTACATTTTTAATCATGTTCCAAAATTTTTGTTATGCTTTAATGTTTATTGATCTCTTTTGAAAAACTTATTGCAGCTTATTTAATTGTTATTAAAACTTTATGATTTGGATCTGAATTGTGATCTAAATTTAATGAAACAACTTGAAGATAGCTTAATTTTGACTTAATAAATAAGAAATTTGAACTAATGTAACCATATCCTAATTAACAAAGACATAATTATGTGCTTAATATTGCAAGGAATATCAAGCTCAGATCTAGATCTTTATGGATCAGTTTCAATGAGTTAAATCCAATAAAAATATTAGAATTTGTGCATCAAAACATCTTTAAAACACTTCAAAATAAACAAAAATTTTCCCAAATTTACCTTTAAAGCTTCATCAATTCGACTTTGATGTCTTCTTCCGAGAAAATTTTATATAAATCCGTTCCTATTCAAGTATCAAATTAAATTCTCGAAATTGCTCTCACGTGCCGCAAATAAAAAAATGTGCAAGTATGTTAAGAGTTCACTTAACCTAGCAATGTACAAACAGAGTCTTCGAGATAATGTAATCAAATATTTCGTACAAATCTTGTTTCTATTTACAAGACTGGAAAGTAACAAAAATGAACGTGAAACCTTGCATATTTTGCTAAAACTCCAAATCTAATTTCTCACATCAAACAGCAACAAAAAAAAAATCACAAATCTCGTCGTCCATTTACCGTCTGTTTACAAAAGTATCATAAACACCGCAAAACATCAAAGCAAAATCTGTCATCGATCGGTAATGTATACAAAATCATTTCAATCCAAAAGTTATGATTATTAATTATTTTTTATCAAACTGCGGTAATTTCAGGCACTTTTGCTACGATTATCGGCTTACATGAACATTTTTGATGAGCTTTTTTTTTTTAGTTTTTATTTGAAGACATTCCTTCGTGATATGTAACAAGTTTTGGTAGGAGAATTGAAGTCATTGACTTATGTTTTCAAGAAAAAGAAAATGTTATAAACCCTAGCGAGACTAACTAGCAAATTGCTAGTCTTTCTATTCTACTACTTGCAATTTACTAGTTATTATTAAAACAACTTACTATTAAAGTGAGTGGACACACAATTAGAAATTTTTATATTTTCCAAATTTCTCCCTTATTTTTTCATTAAACCTATTAAAATTATATATTTTTGGAAAGCTTATCAAATTTCCAATATGATGACTAGAAAAGTTTTGGAAAATTTGCAGGTTATATAGTCACTTTATTTAAAAAACGCATTTTATATATGCGATCCTATAAGCTCCTATAATTTTACTTATGCTTATCGGAGAATCATGCATTTTCTAGTGAATGAAAGTCCTAAGCTAGATCTTTCCAAAAATGTATAATAATTTTATAAAATTTAATTATTTTAACCCGAAAAAGCAAAATAAATTCAAGATGACGGAGAATTTTGAAAATTTTCATACATTTTTTTATCGATTCCTCTCTTGTCTCATACTTTTTCCTAGATTGTTATATATCAATGGAAAGCTATTGAAAAATGAAAGAAAATAAAATGAACATCCTAGCAGAAATTTACCAGTAATTTCCTAGTAATTTACTGGATAACTGGATTAAAATAATTAAAGTACACTAACACTATGAAAAAAAAAATAAAAGACTTAATTTAAATATGTCGAATACTGATGAACGCCCATGACTCACACGTAAACCTGAGGAAGTTAAATAATTAATTGTAAGTCACATACAAATTTGGATCGAGCTTATAAAGGTGATTTCTGCGCGCTCTTGTGAAGTATATAGCAAATGCCAAATTTAAAACAAAATTTTTTACGACTCAAAAAATTCTTTTTTTGTTTATTTTTCGTGAGATTCGAACTTAAGCAGATTTGATCAAACATTTTAAATGGTAATTTGCTAGTAATTTGCTAGTAAATAGCAAGTGTAATTTAATAGCAGTAAGTTGTTTTAATAATAACTAGTAAATTTCAAGTTGTAGAATAGAAAGACTAGCAATTTGCTGTTCAGTCTCGCTAGGGACAACATCTAATAAAAATGCGCAGTTATCGAGAAAAATGAATTTAAATTGTGAAAAATTCAGGTTAGGAAAACTCGTGAAAAACTCAATGGAAAATTCTGAAACTTATACGAATTATTAACATTTATTTAAGCAATAAGTGTGCAAAATTTGAAAGCTTTTCATAGAGTCGTTGCTGAGAAAAATGAAAAACATTAAATACTTGCATATATAAAATGCGTTTTTTACATAAAATGCGTTTTTTACATAAAGTGACTATATTACTAGCAAATTTTCCAAAACTTTTCTAGTCATCATATTGGAAATTTGATAAGCTTTCCAAAAATATATAATTTTAATAGGTAAAAAATAAGGGAGAAATTTGGAAAATATAAAAATTTCTAATTGTGTGTCCACTCACTTTAGAAATTACACTTGCTATTTAATAGCGAATTACCATGTGAAATGTTTGATCAAATCTGCTTAAGGGCGATTCCATGAGTGAGTTTTTTTTTCTCAACTCCATTTTTTGTAAATATTTCCTTAATTAACTTCATTTAACGCCATCTTTAAGATTTATTTTATTTATTATTATGGTATTTATCAGAGATCGAAGCCGATTTTTTCGGCTTAACTCAATTTTTGATTTTTTTGATAGAAAAAAGCCATTTGACACCCATTTCAAGTATTTAAATTGAACTTTATATGCTTTACTATGATTCTATGTAATATTTTGTCAGCATGTAGCTATAGGAAGCTCAGAATTTCAAGTTAAAGAATGTTAAGCCGAAATTTAAGCCGATCGGCTTAAAATCGGCTAAATTGAAATTCTGAGCTCACTATAGCCACATGCTGACAAAATATTACACAGAATCATAGTAAAGCATGTAAAGTTCAATTTAAATACTTAAAATGGGTGTTAAATTGCTTTTTTCTATCAAAAAAATCAAAAATTGAGTTAAGCCGAAAAAATCGGCTTCGATCTCTGGTATTTATGTATTTTAGTGCATAATCTTTTAGTTAAATCTGTCTGACAAAAGATATTTTAAAAAACCAAACTTAATCGGTCAACTTTACGAAAAATTGATTTTTAAATTTTCATCAATATTTCTTTGAATATCCATTGTTGTGTTACAAATCTATGATAAACACACGTGAAATCGCCTGTGCTTTATAACAATATCTTATTTGTATGTCTTTCTACTGTAATTAAGGAGAAAATTGGGGAAAATACCACTTAATCGGTCAACTTTAAACCGATTATTGCAAAACATATTACATATTTTTGTCAAAATGCAGCATAATTAAAACGATTAAATGCTAATAACACATGAATTGATGAATAATAAGTCTAATTTAGTGAAAAGATATGTTGAAATATGTATATTTAAGCAGAAAAAGCTAAAAAAGTTTTTGAACAAAAAATTTTCAGTTCCATTTACTCATGGAATCGCCCTTGAGTTCGAGTCCTACGAAAAATCATCAGAAGTCAAGCGAATTGACTAGTCAATTAGCAAGTGAAAATGCGGGTCTTTGGCGATGGTTTGAACTTGGATTTTGACTAGTAAATAGCAAGTAGCAAATGTAAAGTTATCCAGTAAATTACTAGTAAATTTCTGCTACTTTAAAGTGTCTCAAGGGTATCTGGAGGTTAAAAAAACCCAACAAAATAATCCTAATCCATACCAAAACAATAAAATCTTAGTAACCCATTTTCAATTAAACATCATTTGTGAACAGACCCATAAACCACAATATAATAAATTATTACATTTTTCGATAACAACTTTTTGTCGCATTCACAAATTTTTATGTCGTAATCCTCGCATGAATTGTGTTTACATCCGCTCTTGATTTCAGCCATTTTTAAACTTCCACTTGACACTTTCGATTTGAAGAAAAAGAAAATAAATAAAATTGACAATGAAAAATTTTTTTCTCAATGCTTGCTGTGATGCGAAAAGATTTTAGCAATCGAGTAAGAGAAAATCTCGTGATTGAAGGTTAAGATCAATTGAGATTTTAAAATTAGCTTGAACGAGAAAAAAAATCAATAAACAATGCATCTTTAAATAACATTGCCGGATTACTTCATCGGTTCATTCTTTCTTCCTTGTTTTATTTTTATTTTTAAATTATTCATTTTGCTAAATTGAGTTTAACAAATTTTTAATGAGACAGGACGCTGTTTGTTAAGAAGAAATTAGTATTGGCTATTTTTAGCATCTCAGTGAGTGTTAGCATTCACATGATGTGAAATATATTCTCTTCACTTAGCTCGTTTTAATAGCAAAGATATAAAGCTATGCACGCACTACAATTATTCACATGATAGTCGTTATGTCATGTCAAATATGACTTTTATATTAATGATAGGCTGTTTATTCATTGGTATTGAGATTAGTGTGGATTTTTCTGTAGCTGATTTTTTGAATCAAAGTTTTGTTCAGACTAGATCGGGTGGACGTTACTAATGAATGACAATTTACAGTTGCTTATTAGTTTAATTTTTCTGTCAATCACCACATTGTCTAAGTCTATTTTTTGAAAAAAAAAAAATACTGATAAATGCCGGTTAACAACAAGCTTGAACAGCAACAAACATTCTTTGTATGAAAATCTTAGACAATGTTTTAAAACAAACTGTACACTTGAAGGAACTTGTATAGAGCATTACTGTAGTCATTAACTCTCCTTTAGTACACTTATACCCAACTACATCCAATAAAAAAAAATCCCCTGAACGTGACATCCGCGCTAATGTCATCGTCCACAATATATCATATCATACTTTTCATTTAATATATTTTGAAGGTCAGAAAAAAGTGAGATGCTGTAAGCTTTATGTTCTTTTTCGAGATGACTACAATCAGAGCATGATAAAATGTATTCACATAGAAGAGATAAGGTCATGAATGTCAGAGAAATGATTGATAATAAATGGAAAAATGATGATAAATATTCAGAAAGAAAGTCTACGTACCATGATGATTAGATTTTGTGCTGTACCGTGAAGATTCACTAGAGTATATTTTGCTTATTCACGCTCGGACTGTTGAGCTCCTGCCTCTTCAAACTTTAAATTCTGACTGAGGAGATGAAAAATTATTTAATAAGTATAATTTATAAAAATAGAATCATACACACAATAAGTGTCTAGTGAATTTTTCATTATGTGAGAAATTTCCCACAGCTGAGCTGTCGGAAGATATGAAAAAATTATTTCTTTTTTGTGTATAGGAAAACCACACAAAAATCAAAAAGTTCATCCAGTTGATAAAAAATTCATTATTTTCTAAGAGCATAAAATACTGCACGATGGACTTTGTTTTCATTCATCTCAAATTTCGTTTCCCGCCGCGCACAGCTGTTTGATTCTCTCAGCTGTGACTCTCTCTCTTTCTCTCTTTGTTCGTACTGCACACTGATGTAAACTTTATTTTTATTTATATATTTTATTAAAACAGATTTTGTAAAAGTGTCTTAAATTTCATGAACGAATTGCTTAATTTAGTTGAGTCAATTTGAATTCAAGGACGCTTTCATAAATTATTGAGTTTATGTGCAGCACTATACGTCAGCAGAAAATGCACCAAAAAAAATCGATGGTCAACAAAAGAATTTAAAATCAATGCAGAAATTATGAAACAAATTTATTCACTAGATTTCACAACTGGACATAATAACTTTCACATTATGAAACAGATCATAAAAATTGTGTAATAAGTTAATTGAAATTTCATACCTCAATGCAAAAACACAATAATAAAACTGCTATGCTGCTTGCAAAAAAATGATTTGACTGTAGAAAATTTCAATCAATACTGGATAATAACTATCTCTCGTGTATACCCTCGCGTATGTGTAAATAAAGTGACTCACTCTCTCGATTTGAGTGCTTACTCTCTATTTTTCTCTCTCGTGACTCTCATAGATATGCTTGTGAAATGTTGAAAGCTTTGAAACATTGTGAATTGTGGTAAAGCATTGAGTTTTGGTTTTGAAAATGCCATGCTAATGTTCAAGTTAAATCCTAAGGTTTGATAATGAAAACTGACTTCTGGTACATGTAGTCTACGATAAAGGTGTGACTTAGATTAAACATCAAATGGAAACTCGACATCGCATTTTGATGATTTAATCAACGATGCAGCACTGGTCAAAACGGTCAAAAAATAGAATTTCTTTAGGGGTCGTTCACTTATGACGTCCGAAATTAACGGTGATCTTAGAAAAAAGAACAATAGATTTCCAGGAATTTCTATTGTTCTTTTCTTGCTGATCCCCCCCCCCCCCCCCCCAAAGGTCATAAGTGAACCGTTCCTTAAGACTAATTCACAATTTATTTTTCTAGGGTTTTTTGTGTCTTCCTTAGCCAGTCTCTTACATAGGTGCGCCTTTATTTGAAGGAAAACAGAACTTTAAAACCTTTTTCTATCAAATCGTAGGTCATCAACTCTAGTCCGTGAAGATTATCAAGCAACTGTATGTCTATCAGAGTTTCACCTGCATTTCAGATTGTAGAAACCTTACAGACTCATTTAATTTAACTTATATCATCGGCGATAAGCTTCTGTTTCATTAAAGCGTAAAATCTCTTATTGCTGTAACTTAATCTGAAACGCAAACTTACAACAATTCACCAACAAAATAAACAACACGATTTTTGTACTACTTATGTGTGTTTTTTATTTAAGAACAATTTTATTTTTTTTTTTCTCTTCTGTTCCAAAAATTTTTTTTTTTTACAGTAGAACTAAACTCATCTTGTCCTTAACTTCTTCATTAATGCAACAAAAATATTTGAAAGGTTTACATCCAATGATATATTTAACATGAATTATTTTCAAAATGTGAATTTTTTCCTAATTTTTCTTTGAAAATTTTCCCCATTTTTCTTTACCAATACTTTAAATCATAATGGAACTAACATATATTTTGTAGATGCACGTAGAAATTTTCATAAAATTGCGACAAGTTTTCAAGTACAAAGTAAATATATGGATGAATTTTTAGACATGAATGTGATTGATTTGATGCATCTACATACTCAATATGTAAATTTTTCTATGCGAGTCCACCAGGGCTGAGCTTTAAGTATCTTAAATAATGTATTTCGTGGATTTAATATAAAGAATTTGCCATTTCATACTCAAAGTAATGACTGTCTAGAACATTTTTGATATGCCCACAAAAAAAAGATGCCAGAAGCAAAGAATGAAAATGTCACAGTTAGCAGAATAGCCATCAAAAAATAAAAGCATTTCAAGCATGCTTCATTTGACATGCCGCGAGTTAAAATAAACTGTGGAACTGGCAACGAGCTTTGGATATTTTATTCCCACAGTAGGCGTTCTTAACAAATTTTCAATCTTATATCCATAGACACTTCTCATGGAATTTCAACATAAATTCCCAATGGCAAATTCTTCTTTATGATGAATTCAGGGGCGTATGTAGTTGACGTCTCTGGATGAATTATTGAGAAATTAACTAATATGGATGCGCTACAGATAACATATAACAACACTAGACGATTAAAACTTGGTAGATATATAATAAAATAACATGAATGCTACTCTGTAGATACTTAAATATAAATTTAAATTTTTTCAACTTTAACAATTCCAACTTGCCAACAATGATTTGGATTTGGATCTTATCAATTTTAGAATCATTTGTAAAATTGATAACCAAAATCTCTAACTTAAGCAGTTACAATTTACTACTCATACCTCGAAATTAATTCAAATATTCCTTTTGCAAAAATAAATAAAAACTAAATTTTACTTATTTTTGAGTGTTCTTTAAAAATCTTCTCTGACTTGCTGCTCAGAAGTTTCAAAAAAAATCATTTAACTGCTTTGGCACACATGCCACTCAAAATGTTTTAAAAACAAATAATCAATAAAGTAAGTTCTGAGGAAAACTATTGAACTATGGACTATTAGTAAGTGACGATCATTACATATGTGAATCCATTTCAGCATCCTGAAGCATTGATCTTAAATTTGGTCGACCATTTGGAATGTAACCATTTGTGTTGGTTCGTGGATGTGTATAATTCTTATTACCACCTAAGTGACCATTCGCTACATATCCATTCTGATGATTATTATTTACATAATTGGTAACGTGATTGCTAATTGTTGGTATGACGCCAGGCATTAAGTCATGCAAATTTCCATCATTCATTTCATTCATCCTTTGTTTACCCATCCGTTGTGGATCAGTTTGTGAGTTGCGGTTATATAATCCACTTATAATCTTGGGTTGAGCGTCCCCATTCATTTGTAAAGCTTTACCACTTAATTTATCAATATACTGCTTTATGACTCTCTCGAATTCTCGCTGTACGGTTACACTGTCCGGATCTCCATCAATCTAAAATATTCAAAGAACAATCAAATATTTAAAAATGGGTGTCGTATGTAGCTTTTATGATAGAGAACGAAAATTTAACCTTGTTAGAAAAATTCTGAATTTTAAATATTTTAAGAGGCACTCACAATAGTTAATCGACCTCCACTATCTATTGATTTTAACATGGGTAATGTTAGTTCTCGAAACAGTTCCAATCGTCTCCTAAAAGCTGAGACTGAGTCATCTAATCTCCCTCTACCTAATTGAAGCTTTGAACAATCTAATAAAATGATTGGTGGCTTTTGATTATACTGCGAAATAAAATGAAAGTAAGTCGGAATTAAAATACATGAAACATGAATTTTTTAATCCACAAACCTTTTCTTCGAAATCATAAACCTGATTTATATCACGAGGATATCCATCAATAATAATACCCTTTTTGTTTAAAAGTTGAAGTATGTTTGTGTGTATAAGTTTGTCCAAACTATCCTTCGACACCATTTCGCCTGCTGTCAATGATTCTTTTATAGCAAAGTTCTCGGTTAATGGTTTTGGATCTGATTCGGCTAATGTTCTTAATGACCTTCCGATACTATTTATTTTTATTTGAATTAACAATCAATTATCGACAAATAATAATCCACTTCTTACCTAAAATGACTCCATCCAGCATTCATACCGACAGCTTTTAAGCAAAGCATTGCTTTATTACTACCAGGACCTCCAAGAACAAAAATTACTGGAGGTATTTTAGAGACACTGTCAGTTAAATGATTTTCTATTGTTTCCACTTCGATCACATTCTTGCCAACATTTCCATTCATTTTTGTCTTAACTCTAATCGGTGAGTCTATTGCATTTGGTGGCGTTGTGACAACCATTGCTTCTCTTTCTCTAATTGGCTCCTGTTTCGGAGCTGTTTCTACACTTACAATACTTCCAGGAATTTCGTCATTGCCATGACCTATGCCAGCTACTCCATTCAACACCGCCTCTTGATTTTCTTGTGCTTGCAATATATCCAGAACTGCAGCACGAAAATCCTTATATACTTCACTCGGTGCACGTTCGCCATTTATCTAAATATTTGAACAATAATTAAATTAATTATAGTACGATAAATGCTTTTATACTTACTGCAACAAGCATATCACTTTGATCAAAATAATCTGCAACTGGCATGACACTTTTGAAGAAATTCTCTAGTTCCATTTTTGCGAGGGAAAGGACCACTAGAAATTGTAAATTAAAATTAGCATAATTTACCTCAACAAATCAAATTATGAAACTCAATTACCATGTCCAAGTTTTGCACCGAAGTCAATTTGCTTCTTCAGCACAGATTGACGCCATGATATGAGAATGACACCGTTCAAGACCTGAATCTTTAAGTCAAATTGATATACAATATTTATTATGCCATGTAATTTAATCAATATAATATGTATACATACCTTTTCAGTATATTCAACAACATCACGCATTGAACGAGGATAACCAGAAATGAGGTAAGCTTTTGCGGCCGGTGACATTTTCATCTACATAGAGGACATGATTTAATGATAATTTGATTAGAATTAATATGGTTTGGTATCATGATATGATTTCATACATTCAATTAAAGTATTAAAATGTGATAAGATCTTTTACAAGTATTAACATTGTTGGATATTCTTGACTTCATGTAATGAAACTTGCGTTTTGATATATCTTTGAGAATTTAATTTATGGGAAAAAGTTTTACATGTAAGTTCTTCTTGAGAAAGAGGAAAAAAACTTGTTAACAACGTGTGATAAGCTTGCAAGATAATTTAGCTTTTTTTGAGCAAGAAATTTAAGTTTTCGATTTATAAAAGTTGATAATAAATCAAATTAAAATTAGAATTTTAATCACAAGCAATAATTGGTGACTTTAAGAGAAAAATTCTAATTCAATTGAATGATTCTCAATTTCAATCAATAAATTGTCTAATAATTAAGTTAAAATAGCTTTCAGTGCATTGAATCAAGAAGAAAGACTAAAAGTAAACAAACGGGGCAATCAACTAGTAACAGTTTAAAAAAAATGAATATAAATTATCCAATAAATGATTAAAATGATCTAAAAGTTCTAATTGAATCTAAAATTTGATTCCTAACCTTAAAAATGCTATCCTCGTGTAGTTTAAAATTAGTGACACAAATAATAGAATTATACAAAGTCTATAAATTTTACCTAGAAATTTTCATATCTATAAATTATTCAACATTGACCAATAATAATTTCAAATAATCATTATGTACACAAGTTTCATACACGTGTGCAAAAATATAGTTTTTGTTGACATATGAAATCATAATAATAGAAAAGAACTAATTCATTATTTACCTCAAGCATCAAAACTTCCGTTACGGTTTTGGAAGGTAATTTTGAGAAATCTTGCATGTCTATAATATACATAGAAATAAATTGTTTATAATTAGAGTTGATTTATTGAAGAAGAAGGAAAAATAGATTCACAATTAAGTTTTAAAAATAAATTTAAAGATTTGAGGAGGGAAAAAATTATTTTACATAATTTACAGACATTAGTGATGAGAATGAAACATATTTTGGCCCTGATTAAATATTCATCTACTTATGTAGAAACTTTCCGTTTTATATTATTCTTCTCTATCGTTTTACTGTCCACAAATAATTTCGCTTAATTATTGACGAATTTCGGACAACAAAAAAACGGAAATCAATAAAAGAATATTTTTTGACGTTTATTTGTGTGTTCCTTACCATTGCCCATAGCATATTGTTGTAATAGATCCATCATATTTATATGAGTTAGACCGCGTTTCTCTTGCATCAATGTATCACAGTGTGTAACCTTTCCACTTCCAGGACCGCCAAGAACAAATATCACGGGTACATTTGGCGGTTGAAATTTCACTTTTCCTACATTTGCCATTTGTGGCACAGAATTTTCTCTTTTTGGAGATTGTGTGATAATTTGTGATTCGTCTAATAGTCCACCACCACCTTTCCACTCTTGTATTCTGTCCTCGTCCATGTCCTGGACCTCTTGTTGTGATTTTGCTTCTAGAAAAAAGAGAAACAATTAATTATTTTATTTTCCACATTATGTTAATTGTAAAGTGATGTAGGAAGTTATAATTATTTGACATTGTGCATGCATAATATGCGTCAGATGTTATGACACACAGGCATTACAATATCACGGACAAGAACATTGAGTGACCATTGAATTGTAATTATTCATAATTAAGCGTCTCCTTTTCATCAATGCATGGATTGAAAGCGATGTCTGTATGTACGCTCGTAATTGCTCACATCGAAAATGATTTTAATGGAACTCTGTCAACGCGATTATCTAATATCGAAAAAGAAACCCTGTCTATTGTTAAATATTGCAGTTCTTTTGAGTGATATTGAAGCTAATATTCACAGCTTGTCTATCAAAATTTGATTTGATGGAAAATAGGATTATTCGAGATTAATTGGTCGCATAAAGCAAACAAATGAGACTTGATTTATTAGTAAAACAAAAGTATACAACATATTCAACTTTGAAAGTACTGATTCGAAGGTTTATTGATTAGAGAATAATGAACAAAATTTTGAATTTACAGAATCAAGAATCAAAGATGAGAACTTTAATAAGTTGAGTTTTGAACTATATATAAGGCTGTTCTCTGCTAGTTCTGTGTGTTTGCTTGAATAGAAAGACAGCAGACTACTCCTGTTTCTCATTGAGACGAATACGATTCATATTAGAAAAGGAATTTGAAAACTGGAGCAAACTATTTAAAAATAGTTTATGAAACCACTAAGTTCGACAATAACAAGTTATCCTATAATTATTTATCGACAGTTTCCTTGTATTACCATTACTCACAAGCTCTATCAACTAAGGTATACTTCAAGTTTAAACGGTAGTCATCATTAAGGGCAATTCTACGAAAAGGTTTCATGAAAATAATCCGTGTCAATTGCATGAAATTTTTTAATTATTTTATTTTCACTTGTGCATAGTTTTTCAAAAATCTAATTCTCATTTTCTTTTCTATTGGTTAAACTGTGAATTATGATTACATCTGCACTCAAATTACTTAGCTATGGATTGAGAAATTCATGGTTTTAATTTTAATATTTGGTAGTTTTTTTTGGAATTGTCTCCAAATTACTCTGTTGCACTTATGAAATTTTTCGTACAATCCAAATTGCAGCATAATTAAGGCTTCCACAAATATGATTTTGACATCGTTTTGAAGCTTTTACTTTAAGCTATAACTTTGTATACTTAGTATTACTGGAAATTTTACCACCTTAAAGATATTAATGAAAACATTTTGGAAATTTGGGCGAAAAAATTCATGTGAAACAGAGTAATTTTTCGTAGAATGTAAATAATTCTTTAATTAACCATTTTTAATATGTTTGGGTGAGAAAATTATGTAGATATCGGTAAAATCTACTATTAAATACATGAAACATGGGGAGTAATGCAATTGATAAAGAGAAATATAGATTTGGAGACAAATTTGTAGAAAAAATCATTCGTAGAATCGCCCTTAAACAACTGCATTTCTAGGAAAAAGCTAGTAAGTGAGTAGCAAAACAAAAGATTTGATTTACATAGTAAGTGCTTCAGGAAATGTATATATACTAAGCGGATTTTTAAGTCTTTAAAATATTTTAAAAACTTTAAAGATTTATAAAAATCTTAAGAATCAAAAATTATTGACTTTGAAATAAATGATATCGATAAAGACTAGTAAAACATAAACTTCATCTTATTAAATATACAAAAGTCCAAAATTCCAAGTCATTAGAAACAACCCAATATAAATCTCAACATAATTCTTTTATCAATCACAGCCAAAACATTTCATTGGAACTTAACAAAAATGTCGTCAATATTCCAAAATAGAAAACATTCATTTCTCCCCAACAAATCATGCCTATTATTCTTCGTCGATGTCATGAGAACTTTTGTCGTTAAATTAATTCCACGTTCATCAGGACCTTCATATCATCATTAATGATCAATGAGCAATGGCAGTGATATTGGATATAGGAAATTGCTTAGTTAAATAGGAAGGACAAAGATCGAATTTGTATAATTAAATGACCCACTCAAGTCCCTGAACCTCTAAACGAAAAAAAAAATATTCACTGTCGATATTGATCAAAGCTGTATCTTATATGGCTAAATGGCTTTTGCGCTTAGTTAAATATTCATTGTCCACCATTTGCCACAACAACGTATGGTCATGTTCATCAATTATAGCAATTATGTGTCTTAGAAGTGAAGGAAGGAATAAGTTATGATATATGCAAGGAAAGGATGACGAATGGCAATGACAAAATAGAAAAAAATGACGCCATTGTAAACATTCGGAATGGATCATTTAATTTACAGTCGATTACGACGTAAATATGTATCAGCTACAAAAAGTTTGTTATTTCTTTTTGTTAATGGCATTTTAAAGACTCTCTGTCCAAGCTATTGATTAGATTCAATGAATTATTCAATTAACAGCAACGAAAACTTGGAATATGAAAATTTATTGTTTTCAACTTTTGAAGAAAAAAAAAAAGCTTTTAACGAGGACATGTCAAATTGTTAATAATTTTAAGGTTTTGTAAATGTGCTTTAGTTTCTTACTTGCTGAATATTTTAAACTGGCTTGAAATTTATGTTAAATTTTGACAGTAAGTTCGTAGACACTTATTGGGCACTAAAGTGAATGTGATTGATTGTTGTCAATTTTTAATGAGTTTAAATTGTTCTTTAAAATTCATAGCTGTGATCTGTAATTTAGTTTAGTTTATTAATTAAAGAGCTGTGGAATCTCGAACAAACTCGTAGAATATTTAAATTGATAGAATCAAGGATATTTAAATTTAAATTTTCTTAATAATTGCATACAAAGTTGCCAATTAGACAAGAATTTTCCAATTCCTCGAGACATGAAAGTCTTTAAAATTTAAAAGCTTTAGTTTTCCATAAAATTATAGAAGATGACATGAAACCTCAATTGATATTGAATCATAAATGAAAATCTTCATTACATATTGACAAAGTTCTCATGCTTTCAATGTCTGATATCAAACATTTAAGGCTGTGGTGTTTAATGTAGGTCGAACGTTCTTCATCTGATAGATTGTAAATTTACACAGAATAAAGTATTATTGGGGTTTCATATCTTTTTTATTGAAATTCAGTCGATTCCTTATCAATTCATTGTTTCTTAAACTGATGTAGCCTGGGGAATTATTATTACTGAGAATTGAAGCTCATGCAAAAGTGGATTATATTGCAAATTGAACTATTGAATGTATAATGGTTTTATAAAAGGGAATATATCTTGAAAGTACAAATCGGTTAAGTAATCAGGTTGTTATCAGGAATCCGATGCCAAGCTTTGGCTTTGTAAATATGGTTGGATATCTATTCGACTTGTGGATTCGGTGTATAAGGATGACTATCTAATTCCAAATAGTTGTGACCAAGCTTCGTCTTAAAAAGCTTTCATTTCCGCACATTTTCCTTTGTAATTTTCATAGGATTTTTAGTTTTCAAAGTTCAAAATCTCTGTTTCTATATCTGGGACTGACTTTTAGCGTTCCTTATATATCGATTCTCGATTCAAGAGTATGATGCCTTAGATAGCCCTTGGAAACAGGTCACAGAAAGTTTTATTCTTATTACTATATTTCTGATTCATTCATATTTGATACTCATAATCAAGGGACCAAATTAAAGCTCTTATTGCTTTTACAAACAGAAACACTAAAGCTCACTCATCATTAATGAAATTTCCCACGCGTTCGACTATCCACATGGCCGCGATATTTCACGATATTGCTCAATATTGAAGACTACTTCAATATAGGTCAAAGGCAATACCTCGCACATGCCAATATAATGTACTATCGTGTTTACTTTAGAGTTCCATTAATAAAAAGGGAAAGGCAAGAATTTTAAATGAATGAAAAGTCAAGCACATGCTTGGAAAATTGCTTAAAAAATATCAACAAGTTTTGCTTACCTGTATCCATGCAAATACCCATGATCCATTCGCGACTTAAAATATTCCTTAAGGTTTATTGACTTATGTATAAAAAAATATAAAATAATTTTTATCACTAAACTAATGAGTCTTTGAGGTGAACAATTAAGGACTAAAGCTTTTTGTTGTATTATGTTTTGTTTGTTTATCACTGTAACGAATTAATGAAAAAAAGTGGAAAGTTATTAGCTGATGCATATCACAATTGACCTTATGTATAGTATAAACTTCAACTTGTCCTTGCGTATAATTTCACTTCCATGACAGTGGGGAACACATGTATGCAGATATAGAAGGTGTTACACTTTTATCTTATCGCAATTGTGTGACCGATTCATATTAATGTTGCACACATAGCATGTCTATCATCAAATGACAATGATTTTATGTTAAAAGCATGCTTGTATGTATTCATATATTCCCTGTTCAGGGATGAACTAGTTGAATATTGTGCAATAAGTGTGGATATATTTTAATTGGTGTTGGCTTTTTTGGATTTTTTGGATATTTTTCTCTGTGACTTAATATTCAACATTTAAATGGAATAATTAACTTTGCTCACTTCTTATTCACAATTACTATGCATTTTACTACGTTTAAACTGTTATTTTGCTTGAAATTTGACATTAAAATCTTGATTTGTAGAAAATCATAACAAAATGGCGGACTTGCTAATATTTTTTTAAATCAACAGTTCTTTTTCAGTTTGTTTGATCAACTTTATACAGAATCATTCATTCAAATTTGAATGATGAAATTCAAAAAAGTTCAGAATCGAATTGAAGATCAAGTAAATTTTACAAAGCTTTTGAAACTAGCTTTATTGCTTTAAGTAATTGAATTCATAGTAAATTCTTCTTTGCTCACAAAAAGCTAACCAGATTAATCAATTAAGATTAAATTAAATTAACTTATTGTTCTAAAATTCACAGATAAACATCCGATGTGGGTGAGAATTTGTTAACATAACATAGAATAACATAGAATTAATTAATTAAGAAATTTAACTTTAGCTGCGTCACTAATCATCGAAATTAAAATGTTTTGATATTGTTTGACATCAAATACGACGCAATTGGAAATTGGTAAATTTCATAAATTCCTTTCTGATTTCACGAAAGTTTATCATCTAATATAATCACAACTCATCAAATGTGCGTTTTTTAAAAAGATCATCGCAACTAGAATCACAATTCAAAACTTTAATTTCACCAAATTGACACCAACAACCGAATAATGTAGCAAAATTGACAACGAAAATGCCTTTGACGTCTAGTTCAAGGAAAATTTCATTATCCACACTTACTGACACCAAATTCAATTTATTTTCAATAAGTAATAATAAATTTCATTTAATAGTAAAAAGAAGCCATCATAAACTTCATGATTATCATATGGAAAGTTATGTTAATGTAGTCAAACATATGAGACTGGATCATCAAAAATTTATTCCAAATAAATTTTCCACTGAATATGAGCATATCCATTAAGTTCATGAGCATTTATATCGCATACATATCGTTTGTTTACATATTTTTACTTTCCGGTCATATTAGTAATATCGATTATTCACATAGAGTCATTGAGGCAGGATTCACTATCATTGCTACTTGTTTTATGCATTGTCATGTCACGTTATGAATGTATGTGGTCAATTTTGTCTTTTTATGAGAGGAATTTCACAATCATTGTAATTATGGCTGCAGGGGATCGTTCATAAATGACGTAAACCTACATAAAATGTGAGATCTCTTGGTTAAGGACCTCTTCCACGTGCCAAAAATCATTAACTGATTAAAGTGCCTCATAAAGGACTTCAAAAAATCAAGTCATCACTTATAAACAATCCCTAGCTGCTTTATTTTCAGGAACAAGTTCCACAGATAATTTACTGGATGTCCTTAAAAATGACTTATTTACGAGTCTATTCCTTTAAATATTAATCACTGTGCTATATCAATTGCGTTTTAGATTTCTGGTTTAGAGGATTATGATAACATTTATTCAATTCATGCTTTATGCTTTTCATGCTAATTTTATGCTTATTTCCAGCATAATATCGTTTACCTTTAAAAATATTTTATTTTCATGATTTTTTTGAAAAATTTAAAACTACATTTTCATCACTTTTGTACTCTCAGACAAACAAAAATCTTTGTCACTTCCTTAAAAAAGCCGTTTGATCTATCTGAAAATCACGAGTAAACTGAAAATGGAACTTCGTTGGTGAAAGCTTTTTTTTTTGTTTCGAAATGTCCGAAGGATAATTTATTTAATGAATATTTAATGTATCTTACCATTCACACACATGGACATAGCTCGAGAATGAAGCATGAATGAAAGTGAAATTATTGTATGATTCACTACCGACCGATTACTATTACTTGACAATGAAAACATATTTTTTATGGGAAGCAGATTTCGTGGAAATGTTTAAAGGATTTTTGAATGTAATTGGGTGATGAATTTTAAAATTTTGGTAAGTAGGTGTGTCGGTGATTAATTGATGGGCTATTTGAGGTCATGAAAGTAAATATTTAATGAGATTTTATGATTAATTTTGACAAAATTTTGTGATCAAAAGGAATTCAAGATCAAGAAAAAATTCAGGTAATAACGGCTTTTTAAAATTCAAATTTCACGGACAGATCTTTAAGTCTGAGTTTTTGTTATTTTGAAGAAAATTATCAGAGATAATTAAAATTTATATTAATTGAATTAATAGAGTTTAATTCGTACTACAAGTAAGTTATTCATGTTTATAAGCATGTCTATTCTTTGAATAATGTGCTGTATTGCTGTAAATATTGTTACTTTTGATGAAATTAATGAAAATATTAAATGTCATTTTACAAAAAAATTTGTGCTGCAAAAACATCATTAAATCGTCTTTAATTTAATTCCTTTCTATTGACAGTAGTTGTAAATGACCTTAAATGATATTTAAACATGATTCGACAAGGATATAGTGCAGTATTATTGAAATAAATAGAAGATTAAATCCTAACCTCCAATGATGCAATTTAAAGAATATTTTGGAAATTAATTAAACTTCATTTTTCTTATTTCTAGATTAATTAAAATATGGCTGCATTTCTTAATCGTATCGGTCAACTAGGTCTTGGAGTTGCTATTGTCGGTGGTGTTGTGAATTCTGCATTATATAATGGTAAAGCATAAAACATAATTAAAAACAAAAAAGAAACTTTAAATAACAAATTTTAGTTGACGGAGGTCATCGTGCTGTAATTTTCGATCGATTTACTGGTATTAAGCAAGACGTGACAGGAGAAGGAACGCATTTTTTCATTCCGTGGGTGCAACGTCCAATTATCTTTGATATTCGATCACAGCCAAGAAATGTTCCAGTCATAACCGGATCAAAGGATTTACAGAATGTCAACATTACATTACGTATCCTTTATAGACCAGTTCCAGATCAATTACCAAAAATCTACACAATCTTAGGTCAAGATTACGATGAAAGAGTCTTGCCATCAATCACAACAGAAGTGTTAAAAGCTGTTGTCGCACAATTTGATGCCGGTGAATTGATTACCCAGCGTGAAATGGTCTCACAAAAAGTCTCTGAGGATTTAACAGAAAGAGCTAAACAATTTGGTGTCATTCTTGATGATATTTCAATTACACATTTAACTTTCGGTAAGGAATTCACCCAAGCCGTTGAAATGAAACAAGTCGCTCAACAAGAAGCTGAAAAAGCTCGTTTCTTAGTCGAAAAAGCCGAACAACAAAAGAAGGCAACAGTTTTATCAGCTGAGGGAGACGCAGAAGCTGCAACACTTTTGTCTAAAGCATTCTCTACTGCTGGTGATGGTCTTATTGAATTACGTAGAATAGAAGCAGCTGAAGACATTGCCTATCAACTATCAAGATCAAGAGGTGTCAACTATTTACCATCGGGTCAAGGAACACTCTTGAACTTGCCACAAATGTAAATTTAGTCTCAGTGTGTGCATTTAGAAAGGATAGAGGTCGTATAATCATAAGTTCAGACTCAAATTATGTTGGAAGTTAAAATTGCAATTTATGGAACAATATTTTTAATTGAATTCAAGTTTCTTGCAATGAAAACTCCTGTAAAAATATTGCTCTGAATAGAACAAGCATAAAATAATGTCAAACATTATCCTCAACATCTTGTAAAGTTTATGCATTTTAATTCTGGCATTATATGGAATAAATAAGAATTGGCATCATTTTTAATAAATTTAGATTCGTTTCCATTTCAATCTTGTGTTCTTTTCAGGATAAAGCCCAAAAATAAACTATTTAAACTGGACCGGTTTTTTAAAATTTGAATTTTTCTGTAAATTTTGAATGAAAATTCAAATATTTCTAAATCGTTAGAATTCAAATTAATTTTAAGCCGTTCGATTTAATCACTTTCAGCATCCTCATCACTCGTATCCGCATTACTTTCACTACTCGCTGTATCCTCGTCAATATCCTGATTTGTAATACTGTCTTCATCCTCAACTTTAAATTCATCCAAGCTTATATTCTTTTCCTTACATAATTTCATCATGTTACTTTGTGCTGCATTCGATAAAATCGTCCGTACATCCTCTAGAAAGCCTTGCGGAAACCAACCACGTTTTTCATCACATTCAGCTCCAGTTATTGGACTTGGAATATTTTTGAGCATTTCTTGAATTTTCGGAATTTGAATGTCAATTAATTGGTAGTTCCTTGCACGGAATGGCGGGATTGTATCGACTGTGAAGATTGCTTCCTTTTGTCGCAACTGATAATTTGTGTCTATTTCATCTTCTTCTAATCCACCATCAAACTTTTGATGTACTTTGACTCTCTTGCTTATTGCTGATGTACTTTTACGTTTCAGTTCTCCTTTAAATCCAGCACCTTGCCGTACTCGATAATCAATCATTTGATAAAATCGACTTTCAAAATTCTTTCGTGGATCGTAGCCAAATTTAACAAAACAATTTCTCCAAGGTCCAGTTGTATAGTAGAAAGCTACACAAGCTAGAATCTTACTAATTCTCTTAGGTGGCTCACGAATATGTGCTCGAATAGCTGATAGTGTCCAAATTGGACGCTGCTCGAATAATTCAACAATAGAATCAAATTCTTTTTGTGCAAGAGCATTATTATCTGTTGCGAATTCTTTTACAGCTTCTTTGGGTTTCATTGGCACTGGATGATTCATTTCAAAGATTACTGTTGTCCCATTAGTGCTTCTTGTTGATCTTGATGAAAATCTTATGATTTTTTCGTCATCATCTTCATCTACGAGATTCTTTTGCTCGTTTCTGAGTACTGTCGGTTGAATTTGATCTGTTCTTGTGAATTGTACTGGTGGCAGGAACAATGGCATGTCTGTTTTCTCCCTAAAAATATTTACAATTTAACGATTGATTAGATTTTAAATTATTTGTGCTTTAATTAAGGCATATTTTAACTCAACAGTATTGAATTCTAATTGCAAATTGTTTAAAGAACATTCAAAAGTAGATCCAGTAAAGAAAATAACAAGATTTGAAAGCAAAAATCATGATCCAGTAAAAAAACAAATCTTATTTATGCTCACCTAAACCATTGAGGACCGCAAGTAATGTCATCAGGAACAATATCATTATAAATGCATTCAGTCTTTTTAGTCGTTTCATTCTTCTGTATCGGTAGATATTGAAAATCAGCAACATTATTGAATTTATACAGTGTAGATACAGTTCCAACCAATTCTGCGGATATAAACTCTGTCTTTGAATCTTTTGTTGGTTTCTTTGGTCTTCTGATTTTCATTTTAAGCAGGATACCAGAAGAATCATTTCCAGTTGTTGGCTCATTGGATATTATAGCTTTATTATAATAACTTGTTGGATGAAACTTTAATTGTAACTTTTGATTTTCTGAAAATGCTCTTGAAAGATCCTGTGAACCGCCTAGAGTTTCTATCATCTTGTCAACATTTTCTACTCGTCCTGGATATTCAATTCCAATTAACGAAGGAATTCTATCACCTTTCGTTATCTCCATAATTAAGATTTAAACACTCCACAAAATATCACTGTCCGGTTTGTTTACAAATTGAATGTAAAGAATTACGAACTTTGGATATTCAAAATTCTGAGCGGGGCAGGTAATATTGTCGATAATATTTAAAAGTTGTAATCCCGCATCGAATTAAATTGAGCTAAACTTCTATTTTAATTTAAAATTCATAGAAGAACTAGTTGTAGACCTAATTAAACTGCTTAAATCGATAGATAAACAAGCGGAAAGTCGACTTAACATAAAAGCAAGCATGTAAGTATCCTAAAACTAGAATTTTAACGAATAGAAATTTACAGACACGCAGAATGTTTATATCAGAATTAATTTAAGTAAATCAGTACTAATCACATAAAATATGCATTAATAATGAGCATGACAATGCTTTTAATACAATTTGTCGTAAATTATCACGTAGAATTGAAAAATAATATAAATTTATTGATGGCATATTGTAGAAGAGAAAGGCAGTAAGAAGAAGTTCCAAAAAATGGCTTCTTTGCAGTGAATATATACCTAGTGATAAGCTAAAAGTCATTACTTTATCATTAGCTTTAAGCTTAATTTTTTACTGTGTATATAATACATTTTTTTACAATCACCATAGAATTATCACAACTATTCGTTTCGTTCGTGACGGTGGACCAAAAATAACTCGTTCATAATTCGGTATAATAAGAAAAAAATATATAAGTCGTAGAGTACGCGTGAAAGAGTAGATTCAATCGAATAGAATGCCGGGAGTCCAGTCATATAAACTGTTTATCGGAAATCTTGATGAGTCGACGAAAGCAACCGATATTCGGACATTATTCGAGAAATACGCTGTTCAGGGCAAAATCATTGAATGTGATGTCGTTAAAAATTATGGATTCGTACATTATTCCAATGAGAATGATGCTCGTGAGGCAATCTCAAATCTAAACGGCTACATACTCAACGGAAACGCTATTAAAGTGGAAAACGCAAAATCACGGAGAAGCGCTAACGCGAATACAAGTACTCGAATAATATTTTTATCTATTTTTATTTCTTCTTTATTTATTAATCCAGGATTGGAAAACGGCTAAATAAGACAGCAAACTTTTCCGATTCTCTCAAACCTTTTTAATTCTTATAATATTATGGATATTATTTTGTGTCAATCAATGCTTATTTATCAATCATTTTAATTTTACAAACTACTGGCGTAGCAAAGATATTCGTCGGTAACCTGACCGAAAAGACGAGAGCAGCTGATGTTAAACTGCTTTTCGAAAAGTTTGGGAATGTCCTCGAGTGCGACGTTATTCGGAATTATGGTTTCGTGCATTTAGAAGTCAAAGATAGCATTAATGTTAATGATGCTATCAAAGAATTAAACGGCATGGTGATAGATAATCAAGCTATCAATGTACAAGTATCGACCTCACGCGTGCGTCAAAAACCCGGTATAAAAAAAACTATTATTTTAACATCTTTTCTTAATTTCACCTATTTTTTAAATATGCTATATAAAACCCATCTTCATATTCTTAATCTGTGATCGATTTGTTATTGTTTTGGATGATACAAAATCAATCTCTCTCTGTCAATAATTGACTTGTTTCGGCTATGAAATTTCTATGGATCACTGATTATCAACATATTAATGCTTATTTCATTCACTGACTTATTTTAATAAAGTAATTTATTTTTACAAGGGATGGGTGATCCAGAATCCTGTTATCGATGTGGAAGAAGTGGACATTGGAGCAAAGAATGTCCAAGAATATGGAACGAACGTGGATTCCGTGAAAGAAGTGAGTATCAACGATTGTTTTTTGCATTTTTAAAGAACGACAGTTGACATGTGTCTTGGATAAATATTGAGTTATAATTGTATCTCGGATAAATTTAAAACACTAGCTTGTTGATGTGTCTTGGGTAATTCAAGTAGCAGTTATTTGGATGGGGGGTAAAATCCCCGAAAGATATTAATTCCACGATCCTGCGGGATAATAACCCCGAAAATCGCAAATTTTTAAATGTTCCCTGCGGGATAATATTCTCACTTAGAAATACACGTGGAATTATTATCCTTCCGGAAAGATAATAATCCCACCAATAATTACAAGTGGGATTATTATCTCCCAGGTAGATAATAATTTCACTTACATTTCTAAGTGGGATTATTATCTTTATGGAACACGATTAAAATTATGGATTAAATCAAATCCAAAAACTTATTTGTCATAGTGGATAATAATTCCACTTGTATTAATAAGTGGATTTATTATCTAATAAGATTTTCATCCCAAAAAAATCCCACTTATTAATTTGTCAATTTCATTATTCCAAAAACTTAAATATGAAGAAAACATAAATATTGGTTGAATGTTTGCTTTTTAAAAATATATTATTCCAAATTGTTTAAAAAATAAAATCAAGGTGGGTTCAACTGTAAATATAAAATTATGTTCGAAATTCGCTCGAATGTTTAAAGAAAATGTAGCCGTAATTCCATTTTGTTTCACTTCATTCATTTAACTGTTTAAAAATCACAGTTTTGTTCAAATGTTTAGAAGTAGATATGTTAACCTCTAATGGGAAAAATAATAAATTTTCGATTCTTTCCTGAAATTTTCCAAAAGTCATTCAAATAATTGTAAATTGCCCTTAACAAAATTAGATTTATAAATCTAATCATAATATTTGTTTATACATTTTGCTAAGAAAAATGTAGAGATTTAAACATAAAAAGAACGCAAAATTAAAATTTTGTTGCTCAAATTCTTATTAAATTAACTAGAATTTTAAAATGATGGCAGTTCTGATGCTGTTTAACCGTGTCTACAAGCCCCAAGAAGGTTTCCAATGGTTTTAGAACATTTAAGAGATTTGATTGTTTATAATCTCAAAATTTCGAAATTATTCTGATTATTCAGGTATACAGGGTTACTTAAACAAACTGATGGCCACAAATTTATTGAAAATGTTCAGCAAATTAAAGTGATTCGTACAAAATTCAAACGTAATATTTTGTAAGTTCTTTCAAACTTGAGCTCTTTTGAAGAAAAGCTTAAAATAAAACCTGTCAGAACTAGTGTATCGGGCAGAAACCCAATGCGGATTATATTCACACCGTACCATCAAAAGTCTAATGGATAGACCAAGATTTTCCCAGCATAAGTATGAAGGTATGAAGCAGTATGAAGCTTGATAAGTCAACTGAGCTTCGCTCAGCATAAGTTTGAAGATATAAAGCTAGCGAGTGAGCTGAGCTTCGCTCAGCATAAGTTTGAAGGTCTTAAGCTTAACGAACATTCTTTAAAAGTTTTTAAAAAAAATTTTTCATCCCAACTTGAATTTTATAAAAATCACAGTCAACTTTTGTTTTAAAAAAATTCGTAAGAAAGGAAAGTTTTTTGCTTTTTCTGAAGCAACGGCTGTTCCTACCTTGCTTAAAAACAATACAGCTCTTCTATAGAGCAGCACGGATCAAATGTAAAAAACTAGAAGTCTCTACGATGTCTCGTTATTGAGATTTCTTGCTGATTAACTTGCTTGCTTGCTTGTTTGCTTATTTGCTTACAGAAAGCGTATTTTGCGATTTTCTGAGCAATGCCACAACCAACTTGAAATCTGTTTTTTGAAAATGATGTAAAATTTCAGGCACAAACTTTTCTTCTGTGACCTTTTATAACCAATTTTGCTTCGTTTTCTCAAAAAATGCGAAAAACTGATTTTTCAATCTGAACAAAACCAATAGATTCACACGTGAAAACTATTTGAATATAAAAAAATTTTATATCCTAAAATAGATTTTATATTCACACCGTATACACTTTATTTTTGTTCAGCTTGAAAAACAGTTTTTCGCATTTTGAGGAAAAAAGGCAAATGGGCAAAACAGAATTTAAATTGGCTGTAGCATTGATGAGAAAATCGCATGATAGGTAAGCAAACAAGCATCAAGGCAAGTAAATCAGCAAAAATCTCAATAACGAGGCATCTTAGAGACTTCTAATTATTGCATTTTGATTCTTGCTGCGTTAAAAAGGATAAGGCTTTATTTTTTTATTGAATAAGGTAGAAACAACCATTGCTTCCAAAAAAGCAAAAAACCCTGCATCCTCTATCCTGCATCACGTGAACTCAAATTTTGCCAATGACAAAAATGATAAAAACGTGATTTATTAGTTGCGCACATTTTAAATTTTGAAAGACTTCATTTCAAAACTATTTGCAAAAACAAAAAATTGAAAATTTTGTGTGAATATGATTTCTTGAGTGAAAAGATCTTTGATACATTAAACATCTTTAAGGCTCTAGGCTTTTAGAAAATTTACAAAAGGCATAAAAAACCAAGTTTTCAACTTAAACATTCAACCAATATTTATGTTTTCTTCTTATTTAAGTTTTTGGAATAATGAAATTGACAAATTAATAAGTGGGATTTTTTTTGGATGAAAATCCTATTAGATAATAAATCCACTTATTAATACAAGTGGAATTATTATCCACTATGACAAATAAGTTTTTGGATTTGATTTAATCCATAATTTTAATCGTGTTCCATAAAGATAATAATCCCACTTAGAAATGTAAGTGAAATTATTATCTACCTGGGAGATAATAATCCCACTTGTAATTATTGGTGGGATTATTATCTTTCCGGAAGGATAATAATTCCACGTGTATTTCTAAGTGAGAATATTATCCCGCAGGGAACATTTAAAAATTTGCGATTTTCGGGATTATTATCCCGCAGGATCGTGGAATTAATATCTTTCGGGGATTTTACCCCCCATCGTTATTTGAAACATGCTTATGACTTGGCTAAACTCAAATTAAATTGTGTCTCGGAAAAATTTGAATTTAAATTATATCGTTATTTTTTAACAATTAATGTCTTACCTTATTTAAAGTGTTCCCACCACCTCCACCTCCTGCATTTTTACGTGATCGAATGATGGATGGATTTGCACGAGATTATGACTATTATGATCGACGTGATGAATACGCAAGAGACATGTATGAAAGACGTTATCCTCCAATGATGAGATCCAGAGATTCTCGATATATGGAACGACCATATCCAATTCCACCAATGCCACGTGATTATGGACCAACAAGAGAAATGTTTACACGTAGATCACCTCCAAGACGTGGGTTTGGTATTTATGAAGATTTCAGTCGAGATTCATTTGATGATCGTCGTGGGGGTGGAATGAGAGGAATGTCACCAACACACAGATATGCACCTTATTAAATCAGGATATTCAAGAAGTTTTGGATTTTAAAAAACAAATTTTTTAATACTTTTTAAGCAAATGAAAATTTATTTAAATGATATTGTGAGCAAATTGAATATTTTTTAAAAAGAAAATTCCTTTTTGTGCATAATATGCAAAATCACGAAAGAACATATATAATAAATCATGGACTAAAAACACATCACATAATTAAAGCTTGTAACTTGTCAATGGTGCTGATTGATATTGTGAATTCCTTTGTTGACTTCGTCTTGCTTCCTGTGTTAATTGCTGTTTAATGGATATAATACAGATAAAAACATATCCATAGAAGATTGCTCTTATTAATGACTGGATCAGTGCTATCCAAGTAAAATGCAGGACAGTAAGGATTGAGAATACAAAGTCGAATACTGTCAGAATTATAAATGGAACTGTATCTTGTGGATTTCGCTGGAATTAAATTTTCAAATTGTTCGATCCGTTAAATTGTATACTTCATTTAAATATTTCAGTGTCAGCAACTACTTACGGACTTAAGGCATTCAACAAGTCGCTTTGCCGAATAGAAAACAATGCCAAAATAGACAATAGCAATCAAAATGACGAATTTAACCACTGTAAGTAAGCAAAATTGTCAACAACGTAAATTTCTCTTTTTAATCTTTTAATCCCCTTACTAATTGGTGAGTAACCTTTCATCAAGTCAGAGAGATATGATTCAGCTGGTAGCAAATTAACCATGTGAGAATATGCAAATATAGACCATCCAAGCATCACAGTAAGTCCAATAAGAAACACAGTACTTTCTAATAGCTTGAACCATCCTAAAATTGATTATTAAGTTTGTTTACCAACAATACTTGAGATTGGATACACAGATTATACATACCTATAATCAATGCACCGAGTTCGAGCTTAATGCAGCATAGAAATTTCTCAACAGTCGGGATCCTCATTTTTAATTAATTTTATTGCACAACTTTTGATAAATTAAATAATTTTAAGGAGCAGCTTCTTCACATTGGTAATAATTTTGGGTAAAATGATAAAATAATACACAGTTTCTTAGCTGATAGATAAGATAAGACATTTTATCGCAAATTTAATTGATTTTTGATATTCTTTCCAACGGTTGTTTAAAATTTGAATTTCGAGTGCATTCAAGAATTTCATCAACAACGATCAAAAAAGTAAACAATTGCGGTAAATGTGAATTAATTAAATAACCATGAGTCGTAGAAGGCAGCCGAGTAGTGGAAGTGAAAGCTTAGACAGTGAGGAAGAACAGAGACGTAATGATATTAAAGAACGTGACGAATTTTCGAAGAGATTAAAGGAAAAAGATGAATCAAAAACTAGAAAAATTGTTGAAGCATCTTCAGCCAAAAAGGCATTCGATGAAGCGGCTAAGAGAGCCAAACTAGACTCAAAAGATAGAGATACATTAGTTCCAAAGCTTCGTGAACAATCCAGACGAGAATATTTGAAAAAACGTAAAGATGATAAAGTTGATGAGCTTGAAGCAGACATAATAGACGATGAATACCTTTTCGAGGACTCACAGCTTACAGAGAAAGAAAAGCGAGATCGTGAATACAAGAAAAGGATTTTGGACATAGCAAAACAACATGAGAGGGCTAGAGGAATTGAAAACATCCAGCGCTATCATATGCCAAAGGATATGAAAAAAGGCGAAAAAGGAGAGTATATAGAAGTTGATGAACGAGAGAAATTGCCTCATTCAGAACAGAAAAAATGGGAAGCTGAACAGTTATCATCAGCCTTATTTTCATTTGGTGCTAAAGATTCAAAACAACAGCAAGAATATGAATTATTACTTGAAGATGAAATTGCTTTTGTACAGGCACTCACAATGGATGGAAGTAAGGACAATGAAGCCAAGAAAGAAATATCAGAGACTGAAAGGAAGAAAATGGATATAGAAGAGACAAAAAGAAGTCTGCCTGTCTTTCCATTTAGAGATGATTTAATTAGAGCAATTCAAGATCATCAAGTGCTGATTATTGAAGGAGAAACTGGATCTGGAAAGACTACACAAGTTCCACAATATCTCTATGAAGCAGGTTTCACAAAAGATGGCAAGAAAATTGGATGTACACAGCCTAGAAGAGTTGCTGCAATGTCTGTAGCTGCTCGTGTTGCTGAAGAGATGAAAGTCAAGTTAGGAAATGAAGTTGGATATAGCATTCGATTTGAGGACTGTACGTCTGAAAGAACAGTTTTAAAATACATGACAGATGGTACTTTACATCGTGAATTCCTTAGTGAGCCTGATTTAGCATCATATAGTGTTATGATTATTGACGAAGCTCACGAAAGAACGCTGCATACTGACATCCTGTTTGGATTAGTAAAAGACATTTCTAGATTTAGAAAAGATTTAAAGCTATTAATTTCGAGTGCTACACTTGATGCTGAAAAGTTTTCGTCATTTTTTGATGATGCTCCAATTTTCAGAATTCCTGGCCGTCGATATCCAGTTGACCTTTATTACACAAAAGCACCAGAAGCAGATTATATCGATGCATGTGTCGTGTCCATTTTACAAATTCACGTAACACAACCATTGGGTGATGTTTTAGTCTTTCTCACGGGACAAGAAGAAATTGAGACATGTCACGAAATACTTACGGATCGAGTCAAACGATTAGGTAAGATTTTTAGTGGAATTGATTGACATTTTTTACTTCTAACTTGACCAAGGCTATTTAATTAAATATCACGTTTTTTCATCAATTAGGTTCAAAAATAAAGGAATTGCTCATATTACCAATTTATGCCAACTTACCATCAGACATGCAGGCTAAGATTTTCGAACCTACACCTCCGAATGCTAGAAAAGTAATTTTAGCCACAAATATCGCAGAGACATCATTAACAATCGATAATATCATTTATGTAATTGATCCAGGATTTGCAAAGCAAAATAATTTTAATTCAAGAACTGGAATGGAGACTTTAATGGTAGTTCCAATATCAAAAGCATCAGCAAATCAGCGTGCTGGAAGAGCTGGACGTGTCGCGCCTGGAAAATGCTTCAGATTGTATACAGCATGGGCATATCAGCATGAATTAGAAGAGAATACAGTACCTGAAATTCAAAGAATTAATCTTGGAAATGCTGTTTTGATGCTTAAAGCCTTAGGAATTAATGATTTGTTACATTTTGATTTCCTCGATCCGCCACCAACTGAAACATTAGTGCTTGCATTAGAACAATTGTATGCCCTCGGTGCACTAAATCATCATGGGGAATTAACAAAGATGGGACGTCGTATGGCTGAATTTCCAGTCGATCCAATGATGGCAAAAATGCTGTTAGCATCAGAAAAGTATAAATGCTCAGAGGAAATTGTCTCCATAGCTGCAATGTTGTCAGTAAATGGTGCAATTTTTTATCGTCCAAAAGATAAGATAATCCATGCAGATACAGCACGTAAGAATTTTAATCAAAATCATGGCGATCATTTAAGTTTATTAAATGTATACAATCAGTGGGCTGAAAGTGACTATAGTACACAATGGTGCTATGAGAACTTTATCCAATATCGATCAATGAAAAGAGCACGTGATGTACGGGAACAGCTTGTTAATTTAATGCAACGTGTAGAGATTGATATAGTTTCAGGCGTAACGGAATCAATAAATATCCGTAAAGCAATTACATCTGGATATTTTTATCATATAGCGAAATTCTCTAAAGGTGGACATTATAAGACTGTTAAGCATAATCAAACTGTCATGATTCATCCAAATTCAGCACTTTTTGAGGATCTACCTAGATGGGTGCTTTATCATGAACTAGTGTTTACTACAAAAGAATTTATGAGACAAGTTATTGAAATTGAGAGTAAATGGCTGTTGGAAGTAGCTCCACATTATTACAAAGCAAAGGAACTAGAAGATTCAACAAACAAAAAGATGCCCAAAGTTGTCGGAAGATCAGGTCCTTCAGATGCTTAAATAACTTGTAGAATTTATTTTTGATCTGAAATAAAATAATTTAAAGAATTTTTTTGTGTGCTTGCTCATCTCATGACTGACTGTACTTAAAAAATGTTGGAATGAAAAAGCAATCTCATTTCAGTCTCTTTTCGCATTAATGCACCTTTAAACAATTCCTTTTACCAGTTTCCATTACAATGATTTTTAATCTTTTGCAAACATCCGAATGATGAACAAACATCAAATAGAAAGCACTTTTGGAATTTTTGTGGGTTTTGGATGGTGAAAAATTTTGTGAGAAAATAACAGATTTTTTAAATTTTAAATGTTTGAAACTGTACAAATGACAGTTAAATTACTTAATAATTTGAAAGGTTTTAAACTTTTGAATGGTTTTCAAGAATATTTTTGAAAATAACTAGTGTATCGGGTAGAAACCCAATGCGGATATATTCACACCGTACCATCAAAAGTCTTATGGATAGACCAAGACACAGTTCAAAAGTTATACCTAATTTATGTCATAATTATGTCAGCTGCAAAAACACTTAGTTTGAATTTTGTAACCCTCGGGAACACTATGAACCAGTATAGCTGATTTTGGTCCAAATCTCGGCCATACTTCACACTTATTTGAACCACATTTTCTCGTAAATGTTAAAATATTATTAAAAAGTAATTAATCCTGAATTATGTCGCTATTTTGTCAAGTGTTTTAAGGTAAAGAATTTGTTTTTTGGTTTCCACAGTGAAGAGTATGAACAAAATTCAGATGGGGAAGTCGAAATTTTAGATTTCGATTTTTTTAAGCTATGCATTACAAAAAGTAATACTGGTACGTGATTTATGTCAGAATTATGTCAATTCAAATAAAACTTTCAAAAAATTTTTTTGACCAAAGTACACCATAGAAAATCAATTTTCAATTTTGGACTAGGGGCGACCCTAGTCAAAATCAATTTTGTCACTTTTTTCTTCGAAGGTTTATCCAATTACAGTGAAACTTTGTGTGAGTATACTAATATTTATACAAAACAGTTCTAAATATCTAAAGCAAGAAATGTATTCTATATGTCGTCAGACCCAAATTTTATAAATTTGGTTGTACATTCAAAAACAACGTGACTTAAAATTTTGTCCAAAAAATGATTTTCATTAATTCAGAAATGTGTGACCTGAGGATTAGAAAGTGAAAAACTAGATTTTGACTAGACCTGTCCCAAGTTCATAATTCAAAATGTATTTCCTACTTGGTTTTTTGCTCAAAAAAATTTTAAGATGTTTTATTTGTATTTTTTAAGCACTAGAATATTTATGCAAAGTTTCAATCCATTTCGATAAACCCTCGAAGAAAAAAGTGAGAAAATTGATTTTGACTAGGGTCGCCCTAGTCCAAAATTGAAAATGTATTTCCTACTTGGTTCTTTGCTCAAAAAAATTTTAGGATGTTTTATTTGTATTTGTTTTAAGCATTAGAATATGTATGCATAGTTTCAATCCATTTGGATAAACCCTCGAAGAAAAAAGTGACAAAATTGATTTTGACTAGGGTCACCCTAGTCCAAAATTGAAAATGTATTTCCTACTTGGTTCTTTGCTCAAAAAAATTTTAAGATGTTTTATTTGTATTTGTTTTAAGCACTAGAATATTTATGCAAAGTTTCAATCCATTTGGATAAACCCTCGAAGAAAAAAGTGAGAAAATTGATTTTGACTAGGGTCGCCCCTAGTCCAAAATTGAAAATGTATTTCCTACTTGGTTCTGTGCTCAAAAAAATTTTAGGATGTTTTATTTGTATTTGTTTTAAGCACAAGAATATTTATGCAAAGTTTCAATCCATTTGGATAAACCCTCGAAGAAAAAAATGAGAAAATTGATTTTGACTAGGGTCACCCTAGTCCAAAATTGAAAATGTATTTCCTACTTGGTTCTTTGCTCAAAAAAATTTTAGGATGTTTTATTTGTATTTGTTTTAAGCACAAGAACATTTATGCAAAGTTTCAATCCATTTGGATAAACCCTCGAAGAAAAAAGTGACAAAATTGATTTTGACTAGGGTCGCCCTAGTCCAAAAATTGAAAATGTATTTCCTACTTGGTTCTTTGCTCAAAAAATTTTAGGATGTTTTATTTGTATTTGTTTTAAGCATTAGAATATTTATGCAAAGTTTCAATCCATTTGGATAAACCATCGAAGAAAAAAGTGAGAAAATTGATTTTGACTAGGGTCGCCCTAGTCCAAAAATTGAAAATGTATTTCCTACTTGGTTCTTTGCTCAAAAAATTTTAGGATGTTTTATTTGTATTTGTTTTAAGCATTAGAATATTTATGCATAGTTTCAATCCATTTGGATAAACCCTCGAAGAAAAAAGTGACAAAATTGATTTTGACTAGGGTCACCCTAGTCCAAAATTGAAAATGTATTTCCTACTTGGTTCTTTGCTCAAAAAAATTTTAAGATGTTTTATTTGTATTTTTTTTAAGCACTAGAATATTTATGCAAAGTTTCAATCCATTTGGATAAACCCTCGAAGAAAAAAGTGAGAAAATTGATTTTGACTAGGGTCGCCCCTAATCCAAAATTGAAAATGTATTTCCTACTTGGTTCTGTGCTCAAAAAAATTTTAGGATGTTTTATTTGTATTTGTTTTAAGCATTAAAATATTTATGCAAAGTTTCAATCCATTTCGATAAACCCTCGAAGAAAAAAGTGAGAAAATTGATTTTGACTAGGGTCGCCCTAGTCCAAAATTGAAAATGTATTTCCTACTTGGTTTTTTGCTCAAAAAAATTTTAGGATGTTTTATTTGTATTTGTTTTAAGCATTAGAATATGTATGCATAGTTTCAATCCATTTGGATAAACCCTCGAAGAAAAAAGTGACAAAATTGATTTTGACTAGGGTCACCCTAGTCCAAAATTGAAAATGTATTTCCTACTTGGTTCTTTGCTCAAAAAAATTTTAAGATGTTTTATTTGTATTTGTTTTAAGCACAAGAACATTTACGCAAAGTTTCAATCCATTTGGATAAACCCTCGAAGAAAAAAGTGACAAAATTGATTTTGACTAGGGTCGCCCTAGTCCAAAAATTGAAAATGTATTTCCTACTTGGTTCTTTGCTCAAAAAAATTTTAGGATGTTTTATTTGTATTTGTTTTAAGCATTAAAATAATTATGCAAAGTTTCAATCCATTTGGATAAACCATCGAAGCAAAAAGTGAGAAAATTGATTTTGACTAGGGTCGCCCCTAGTCCAAAATTGAAAATGTATTTCCTATTTGGTTCTTTGCTCAAAAAAATTTTAAGATGTTTTATTTGTATTTGTTTTAAGCACAAGAATATTTATGCAAAGTTTCAATCCATTTGGATAAACCCAAGAAGAAAAAAGTGACAAAATTGATTTTGACTAGGGTCGCCCTAGTCCAAAATTGAAAATGTATTTCCTCCTTGGTTCTTTGCTCAAAAAAATTTTAGGATGTTTTATTTGTATTTGTTTTAAACATTAGAATATTTATGCAAAGTTTCAATCCATTTGGATAAACCATCGAAGAAAAAAGTGAGAAAATTGATTTTGACTAGGGTCGCCCCTAGTCCAAAATTGAAAATGTATTTCCTACTTGGTTCTTTGCTCAAAAAAATTTGAGGATGTTTTATTTGTATTTGTTTTAAGCACAAGAATATTTAGGCAAAGTTTCAATCCATTTGGATAAACCATCGAAGAAAAAAGTGAGAAAATTGATTTTGACTAGGGTCGCCCTAGTCCAAAAATTGAAAATGTATTTCCTATTTGGTTCTTTGCTCAAAAAAATTTTAGGATGTTTTATTTGTATTTGTTTTAAGCATTTGAATATTTATGCAAATTTTCAATTCATTTGGATAAACCCTCGAAGAAAAAAGTGACAAAATTGATTTTGACTAGGGTCACCCTAGTCCAAAATTGAAAATGTATTTCCTATTTGGTTCTTTGCTCAAAAAAATTTTAAGATGTTTTATTTGTATTTGTTTTAAACATTAGAATATTTATGCAAAGTTTCAATCCATTTGGATAAACCATCGAAGAAAAAAGTGAGAAAATTGATTTTGACTAGGGTCACCCTAGTCCAAAATTAAAAATGTATTTCCTACTTGGTTCTTTGCTCAAAAAAATTTTAAGATGTTTTATTTGTATTTGTTTTAAGCACTAAAATATTTATGCAAAGTTTCAATCCATTTGGATAAACCATCGAAGCAAAAAGTGAGAAAATTGATTTTGACTAGGGTCGCCCTAGTCCAAAATTGAAAATGTATTTCCTATTTGGTTCTTTGCTCAAAAAAATTTTAAGATGTTTTATTTGTATTTGTTTTAAGCACAAGAATATTTATGAAAAGTTTCAATCCATTTGGATAAACCATCGAAGCAAAAAGTGAGAAAATTGATTTTGACTAGGGTCACCCTAGTCCAAAATTAAAAATGTATTTCCTACTTGGTTCTTTGCTCAAAAAAATTTTAAGATGTTTTATTTGTATTTGTTTTAAGCACTAAAATATTTATGCAAAGTTTCAATCCATTTGGATAAACCATCGAAGCAAAAAGTGAGAAAATTGATTTTGACTAGGGTCGCCCTAGTCCAAAATTGAAAATGTATTTCCTATTTGGTTCTTTGCTCAAAAAAATTTTAAGATGTTTTATTTGTATTTGTTTTAAGCACAAGAATATTTATGCAAAGTTTCAATCCATTTGGATAAACCCAAGAAGAAAAAAGTGACAAAATTGATTTTGACTAGGGTCGCCCTAGTCCAAAATTGAAAATGTATTTCCTCCTTGGTTCTTTGCTCAAAAAAATTTTAGGATGTTTTATTTGTATTTGTTTTAAGCACAAGAATATTTATGCAAAGTTTCAATCCATTTGGATAAACCATCGAAGAAAAAAGTGAGAAAATTGATTTTGACTAGGGTCGCCCTAGTCCAAAAATTGAAAATGTATTTCCTATTTGGTTCTTTGCTCAAAAAAATTTTAGGATCTTTTATTTGTATTTGTTTTAAGCATTAGAATATGTATGCATAGTTTCAATCCATTTGGATAAACCCTCGAAGAAAAAAG